TTTGACTCAGTCAGTCATCTTCTCTCTTCATTGAATTGGACACGCGACGCGAGTTTCCAGTTTTCTGCCCGCCGGACTCGAAGCGAGCGGCACCCCCGTTGACGACGGGGACGACTCATGATGACCGTTCCGGATAATAGCCACGCCCCGGATGGGGCCGATCGGATAATAAAATCCAGGAGCAGTGCTTCCAAGCCAAGCAAACGAGGAACTATCCGGTGGACAGTTGGGCTGGTGGTGCGGTAAGTCTTGCTTAAAAAGCTAGACCGGGATCTTCGGTCCACCGCGTTATGGAGTTGAACCGTTGCTAATCTGGCGATCAAACTGATAGGCTCTGTATCTGGTATGCTCTTCTTACGCCATTCCTGCGCTGCCCTTCTCAGCTCTCCGACCTTACGGATTCCTCGCCGCGAGTATGCAAACCATACCTTGTTGCTCGCTCCTATGTCGAGCCCCATGTGATGCCGTACTATAACGCTTATGGCGCGCCATATGTCGAGACAGCGCGCCCATACGTGCAGGTTCTCAATGAGAAAGTCTACGCGCCCACTTCGCGCGTCGTCAAGCACGGATATGAGAGATTTGGGGCACCCGCTTTGGATAAAGCCCAGCTTTATGGCCAGCAGCAGTGGGAGACGATTGTCGTCCCACAGTTGCAGTCCGCTAAGGACAGAGCAAATGGCTTGTACCAATCTCAACTATACCCCCATGTTCAAACCGTCGAGGCGGCCTTGTCGCCATCCTTCCAAAAGGCCAACGGCGCGATCAAGTCTGCATATGGAGACTACCTTCTCCCATTCGGCGCAAAGTATAGGCCTTTCATCGGTAAGACCTATACAACGGGCCAGGAAATTCTCACAACAACCGTACTCCCTTATGCGCAAAACTCATGGTCGGCGGCTATCTACTTTATTCATAGTACATTATGGCCCAGAGTCACCGGAGTGTACTCTCAGAATGTCGAGCCTCAGCTAGTTAAGATCGGCGAAAGACTGGCAAGTTATCGTGAGGAGAAGAGGCTGCGCCAGGTTGCAGAGGAAGTGGAAAGGTAGGCTTTTATCGCTGCGATATACGTGCTTCATGTGTTAACCTATCATTCACAGTGCATCTCAACAAGCATCATTTCTCACTGCACCAAAGGCTACTGAGGTAAATGACTTGACGACGTCGTCCACAACCGAGCAAGCTACCGCAACGCCTACGCTGTCGCCTACTGAACAAGCTGCGAAAGCACGCAATAGCATCGAGACTGACCTGCGCACCTGGCAACAAAAGTTTGCCGTTGCCGCAGAGAAGGGACTCGAGGATCTTGAAGAGCGCTTGGAGGAGATAGTCGACGGGTTCATTGGAAGTGGCGTTCGCGCACATGGAGAAAGCTTGGCGACCGCATTGGAGGCCGTTGTTGACAACGAGCTTATAGCTCTTAAGCGTCATATCAACAACCTCGCCGAGTCCTTGCCCAAAGAAGACGTGCCACAAGCTGAGCAGGCAGCGACAAACGAGCTTTTTGGAAACATCAAGGAAGCCGCAGTGTCTATCCGAGACCGTGCTCATGCCCTTCGAGAATGGCGCCATTCCTTCGACCAAGAGCTTACAAGGCGCGTTTCTTTCGCAATCAACTCTACACTCGATGTCCTGGATAGCGTCCGTGATCTCGGACTTCAAGAGGTCGGCATGCGTTGGGCCTGGATGGATGGTGTTACCTACAAGGATTGGGCTAGGTACCATGCATTGAAGGCGCAGTTCGAGGAATGGAAGGATGAGTTCTTGGAATTTGGCCTTCAGCATGCGAAGCTTGAGGAAGCGCGAGCAGTAGCGGACGAGATCTTGTCGCACGGAATGGAAGTTGCTGAGGCCGCCGCCAAGGAGCTGACCCGGCTGAGGGACGTTGGCAAGTGGAAGATCGCTGCCAGGGAAGCAAGCGATGACTTTGACACCAGATCTGAGCCTCCGCCTTCGTTGCCTAAGCCTAGCCGCGCCCCCGAGCCTGTTGTGGATGAAGAAGGACTGGCAGATGAGTCAGCCGATGCTGAGCGTCCGGATGGGACTGTCTTTGCTTATGATGCTGCCTCTCGGGCCGTGAATGACGGATCTGACGGCGACGAGGAGAGTATGGCAGATGATGAGGAGCATGCTTCGCCCCAGGCTAACGGTGGATTGCCTTCGGAATACGAGTCGACTAGCCCTTTGGGTGATAACCAGGATGCCGATTACCTGAAGGCGGCATGGGGAGCAGCTGCGGCTGATGTGAGAACACCGTCGGAAGGCGAAACACCACAGGCTTCTGGCCCCCAATTGTCGGCTGAGCAGCAACAGGCTGTTGCGGCTCTCATCTCGGGTCTACTTGTGGACAAGGACTCTGCCTACGCTGAAGAGATCATGAACAAGCTGCACTCGATTTACGGGACTCCAGCGCCAACACCAGAGCCTTCTGTAGCATTTGACGAAGCTTCTGATGAGGTTAGTGATTTCGATGCAGAGGCTGCGAATGCCCCCTTCCCGGAATCCGAAGAGCCTATCGACGAAACCGATGAAGCCTCGAATGCATCATCCGAAGCAGACTTCGAGTCTAGTGCTATCGTCGACGACGAGGATAACAACGAAGAGGTGCAAGATACCCCCGAGTCACTCTCCGAGGACATCGAGATAGAGGGGGTCGAAGAGGACTCGCCCGTGGATGACGTCGAATCGTCCTCCGCAACTCTGGCTTCCACTGCCAGCAGTGTTGTATCCGAGGCTGAGGAAACCATCATCCCTGAAACAACCCCAGCCAGCGAAGACAACTCTGCAGAGGAGTTGTAACCTGAGACAAGACAGACAAACAAACAAACAGGGTCGGCTGTTACTTGGCAATTCTTTCATGATTTGATATCCCAAAACATTCTTGTTATTCGCTTGATTTACCATCTCAGGTCGGCCATGATATTCCCCACATAGTTCCCCCACGATTTGTACGTCATGATATAGCATTTTCCATTCTCCCCTTATACCACCAGAACTTCTTCCTCCTACCTTTGCTGGCTGTGTACTATGTGCTGTTTTTATTTGTTTCAATTCTTGTAACGGCCACTCGTGCTTCAACATTTTCGTGCCCTTCTGGCACCGAAACCTTTTGCTTTTTGGGAAGCGCTCATCTCGCATCCAATCTATCTTCACATACATTAAAATACAATTTGCTCAACCATAAGAGATGGTGAACTCCAACCGCGCAATGCGTAGCTATCGGTAATATATATGCATAAGCCATCCCCAAACATCCACTCCACTCAATGAATCCAAAAACAACCCACCCCTCACAAGACCACCTCACCGATACTGCACCCCCCTAGCACCCCTCTTCTCCATCTTCTTCTGCCTCTTACTCTCCGCCGCACCTCCACCTTGCTCCTGCCCAGCACCCGCACCTCCCATACCCGCCAACCCACTCTTCATCCCCATAAAGGTACTATACGCCAACCAGACCGAATACACCGGCACAACAATCCACAACCACCAAGCACGATCGCCAAACAAGCAGGCAGCTCCAAGACAACCCCACGTCCAGTACAGCACGTCCCACATGTATTCCGTCAGTCCTGCGGCGCCGAGATCCTCGCCGGGAGAGCGGAGGGATCCATCAGCGGGGTTGTAGACCGGGCGGCCGAGGCGTTCGAGGTAGAATTCGATGAGAAGGGTCGGGCAGGCGAGGGTGAAGTAGGGGGTTAGGGAGCGGGGGCGGTTGAAGAGCCAGTGGAGGGTTAGGAAGAGGATGTGCAGGACGGCACTGATGAGGTGGGTGCGGGTGAGGAGGGACGCGTTGCGCGCGGCGAGGGTTTTGGCGGCTTTCTGTTGGGAGGTTGGTTAGTTATTTGAGTGGAGGGATATGGTTTATAGGGGGAATGGGGTATACTGACTTGAGCCATGGTTGTAGGTGGTGGTGGTGGTAGTGTGTGGTGTGAAGTTGAGATTAATCCGGTATGATCGGATGACGATGATGCAGGTCGCGTGCGGATGCAAGTGGTGTAGGGTGTAGTGGGGGGTTGGTGGAAATGACAGGGAGCGATGATCCGCTCAGTGAATAAATTAACTAGCGATAAGCAAATTGCATGATCGGGGAGGGATAAGGAGTCTAGATAATTGATTGATAGATTTGATTGATAGTGGTAGTAGGGAAGGTGTGAAAGTAACACCTGTAGTAAGTAGTAGTAGTACCAGTAGTAGCAGATGGCGAATAGGGAATGGCGTTGCCCACCACAACCAACTGTAAGTTACTAACAGCCAAGCCGCCCTCCGCCTCTCACCAGCCACTCTCTCCGCCAGATTCGCTGCTCCAAAACATCGCCAGAAAAGGCGTCGTGAACTACGACTTCTGTCGGACTTTGCCGCTTCGCCCCTGGGCCTACTTTGGGCTTCTTCCACGTGTATCTTGTCTGCCGCTTTCTCTGTCTGCTCGTCGCGACATGCGATCTGACTCCCTTTGACACCTTCTTGGGCCCTACACGGCGTCACGAGTCGTCCGGACGTCATCCACTTTCCCTTTCTCCTCTGCCACAGCTTCGCATTTCAACCCACCCCCTCTCGACTAGTCTGATCTGTGGCGGAGATCTAGACAAGAACCGTTGCGATCCATCGGGCGCAAACTAGCCAGGCGATATACTTTACTGGTTATTGTTTTGACGGGTGTTGACGGTCTAACAATCTTTTTTTCCCTCTGTTCCCTATCTATACAGTTGAAAGAAACACCACGTCGTCGTTGCCTTAAATCCGGTTCACGCGGCGCTCCCCTCACATCTCTTAGTGTTCTTCAATCCCTTTGGACTGTTTCTCAACTTCACCCATGCTGGTTCGGTGTTAACAGATTAACGGCCTCACCTGTCGGTCACCTGTTCCTTGATTCCGCAAAGCTCCCTTCGCGCCGTTCCCAATACGAACGTCAATACCGCCTCCTCTCCTGCAGCGCCTCTGTGATATCGCCCCCCCTCCTTCTCTCCCTCCTCCTTGAATGAATCCCACACCTCAACATGTCTCCCTCCACCGCACATATATCGAGCCAACTTAGGCAATTAATATATTACCATCTTGATAACAACCTCGTCCGTAATGCGCTTTTCCTTGCCGGTCGGTTGCACGCCTACGAACCCCGAGCAGCGGAATCTTCATATTTACTCGCCTTGTGCCATCTCCAGAGCGGTCAAGTGAAAGCAGCATACGATTACAGCAAGAACTTTGGTTGGCGAGGCACTCACCTGGGCTGCGCGTATGTGTTCGCTCAGGCGTGCTTGGACCTGGGAAAATATCCTGAAGGCATCACGGCGTTGGAACGAAGCAAAGGACTCTGGTCCACAAAGAACCATTGGGGTACGCTTTGTTCAGCATTTCTTTGTAGTATTCCGCTTGTCGCAAATGGACGCGACTATCATTTCAGGCTGATCACAGCTGACATTTTCTTTTCGCCGTTCCAGGAAAACACAGCGAAACGCGCAGGCAACATTTACCCGATGCGGCAGCGGTGCTATGTCTACAGGGCAAGCTGTTCTATGCGCACAATGAACTCAATGCGGCTGTTGAATGTTATGTCGACGCGCTCAAGTTGAACCCGTTCATGTGGGACGCTTTCTTGGGCTTGTGTGAGACTGGTGAGTATCGCGGGCGGATAGGGAGAATGCTGTCGCTAATTGTTCAAAGGGGTCAACATCCGCGTTCCCAATATCTTCAAGATGACACCTGAACTCAGCGCTTTATTAGCATCCTCCTCACAAGATGACTTGGACGTGTCTTCGGATAAGGCAGCACATCCCGCAGGTCCCTTGCAGTCGCAACCGAAACTGAACTCGAGCACCGATCCCTTTACTTCTTTGACGTCTCGGACTGAGGCAGTCGGCACGCATGGGAGCTCCGCTCTCTGGGAGAAGCTAAATGGCAGCACAGTCAGCGTGGCATCCACGGGCACATCAACAGTTCCGGCAATTCGAGAAGGGACCGAAACACCTGGAGGCCAAAGCAGTGAGTCGGACGACCGTGTCATGCACCGGACAGACGCACCTATGGAGCCGCCCTTGGCACCTGCACGGAAGAACCGAACAATACAAGCGATTAGTGCCGATCACGGCATGGACTCCCCACCAAAGATGAAGCCCACGGGTATACGACCCCGGACCAGGACTAAGCCCGAGCCCGATGAGTCGACTACAACCTATACGGATCGAGAGCTCTCACACGGAGTCCGTGTGGGCGACCGCAAGCGAACTGTCTCTGGATCAGTTGCTCATTCCGCGCAGCAACCCACCGAACCTGGCGCGCCGCAAAGGCGGAGCGTCCGCCTTTTCAACCAGATTAAGCCTACTACGAGCAAGCTTTCTAGTACCGCGCTGGGGACAAAGGATGGTCGAGAAATGAAGAAGGTCAGGGCTACTGGTGCGAAGGGTCGCACTACAACCGCTCCTAGTGTGGGCCGGGTCGTGAGCGGCAATCGAAAACACATCGGTGACACCCATGATGGCGAGGCCAAGGACCACCGGCCAGCCACCTCGGCATCGAATGGGACGCACCACACTTCATCGAGAGGGCCTTCGCTTGATCGGTCTAAAGCTGTGGAGGCATTGACATGGTTATTAGAGCTGTTCTCGAAGTTGGCGTCCGGATACTTTGCGTTGTGTCGCTATCGTTGCGCTGAAGCTACCCAGATATTCGCGGCTTTGTCTCAAGGGCAGCGGGAGACTCCATGGGTACTCTCCCAAATAGGTCGAGCATACTACGAGCAGGCGATGTATTCCGAAGCCGAGAAATACTTTGTCCGGGTAAAGAGTATGGCTCCGTCCCGGTTGGAGGATATGGAAATCTACTCGACGGTGCTCTGGCATCTGAAGAATGATGTCGAGCTGGCTTATTTGGCGCACGAGCTCATGGAAACCGACCGTCTCTCCCCTCAGGCCTGGTGCGCCGTTGGCAACTCGTTCTCCCACCAGCGGGATCATGACCAAGCTCTGAAGTGCTTCAAGCGAGCCACGCAACTTGATCCTCATTTCGCGTACGGGTTCACTCTGCAAGGACATGAATATGTGGCCAACGAAGAATACGACAAGGCTCTCGATGCGTATCGACACGGCATCAGCGCTGACAGTCGCCATTATAACGCCTGGTATGGATTGGGTACGGTATACGACAAGATGGGCAAGCTCGAGTTTGCCGAACAACATTTCCGCAATGCGGCCAACATCAATCCTACGAACGCTGTGCTCATCTGCTGCATCGGACTGGTATTGGAGAAGATGAACAACCCCCGCGGGGCTCTCGCCCAGTATGGACGGGCCTGTCAATTGGCGCCTCATTCGGTTCTTGCTCGCTTCCGCAAGGCTCGCGTGCTGATGAAGCTCTCGGAGCTCAAGTTGGCACTGACCGAATTGAAGGTGCTAAAGGATATGGCACCGGATGAGGCCAACGTGCATTATCTGCTGGGTAAACTCTACAAGATGTTGCATGAGAAGGCGAATGCTATCAAGCATTTCACGACCGCTCTGAATTTGGATCCCAAGGTAAGTTTAAGAGCCCTCACCATTCCCGCCAAACTCGAATGCACCGGCTAACTGCTTCAGGCGGCGCAATACATCAAGGATGCCATGGAATCCCTGGATGATGATGAAGAGGATGACGAAGATATGGCATGATTTTCTTTCTCCCTTGTTCTTACTATTCTTCCTGCTTCCCCTGTGTACTTCTTCGACGGGTTCCTGTTGTCCATGAACCCATCTGTACCCTGGAATCCCTATTGGCGAGGAGCGGCGTTTGTCTTTTCTCTTTCTCTCTTTCTGGGTTGAATTTGCACCAGCATCAGCATTATGAGGGCGTTCGCCGGTGGGTTGGTTAGAACTGGCATTGCGAGCATCCAGACCTCGCGAGGGTCGAGGCATCTGGATTGGATTCTGTATGTTAGCGTGGGAGGCTGGGATGGACGAGGCCGGACGACGGAGCTGAACATATCTTCTTGGAAGACTGTTGTCCGAGCGGCTGCATAATCGAGCTATTATTAGCACATTGATACCCACTTGTCTTCATACTTGTAGAGCAATGATACTAGATTCAGATGACTGGCTGTTGAGTACTATGCCGAGATGCTAGGCGGAGCAACAGGCGGTGAGGCGGCAGAAACCGGCGGAAATCCATCCAAATCCGTTGAGACCGAAAGACGAGAGTTTGGGATTCATTGGATGCCGCGAAGATCTCCCTCTCTGTTCCCCTAAATTCAAGGTTTCTCTCAATCTTCTTCTCACTCTCCTTCTCTTCCTCCCCGACATCCCTCTTCCTAGTTCTCCTCCGCTTCCTCCTCCCCTTCTTCCCGCCACCCCTACTACCGGGTCATGCACCGTCTTTGCGGCCCTCTCGCCTGACCTCGTCATCCCCAAAGTCCGCATACCCCAGAGAACCCCAGGTTCGCTTTGCCCCGAGCCCACCCTTAGGCTTCTGGCTATAAAGCCCCCGTCTAACCCGTTCCTGATGCAGATCAGCCGGTTCTCTTACCCCCACCTGAAAACCTCATCCCCACCACGACCACCATGTCCCTCTTCTCCTACGTCGCCTCGGGCATCAGCTCCTTCGTCGTCTTCACACTCTCACTCTTCGCCCTCGGCCAAAAAGTTCCCCGCGCCGCCTTCGTCGCCCGGTGTCTCGCCGCCTATGGCTCCCTCCTCCTCTGCGCCACCTACGGTGTCGTCGCCTCAATTGTGCTCCGTATCGCCGGCTACGGCCGCATCTCGCAATATGCCACCGCGCGCAGTTTCAAGTGGGTCATGCGCTACACCACCGGCGTGACTTTCAACATCATCGAAGGTGCCGAACACCTGAACACCCGACCCGCCGTGTTCATCGCAAACCACCAGTCCGAACTGGACGTGCTCATGCTCGGCTACATCTTCCCTCCGTACTGCAGTGTCACGGCCAAGAAGTCCCTCAAATATATTCCCTTCCTCGGCTGGTTCATGTCCCTCTCTCGCACCGTCTTCATTGATCGTGCCAACCGCGAAACGGCCGTCAAGGCCTTTGACAGTGCTGCCGATGAGATGCGCAACCATCGCCAGAGTGTCTTCATCTTCGCCGAGGGCACGCGCAGCTACTCTGATACCCCGGAACTGTTGCCGTTCAAGAAGGGCGCGTTCCATCTTGCGCTGAAGGCGGGTGTGCCCATTGTGCCGGTGGTTACGGAGAATTACTCGCATGTGCTGTCCCCCCGGAAGATGAGGTTCGAGCCGGGCACGATCAAGATTAAGGGTACGTTTCACCCTCTTCGCCTTCTGGCTGAATTCATGAAGTGCTAACTGCATATAGTCCTCCCCCCGATCAGCACGGAAGGTCTCACGACCGCCGACATCGACGCTCTGACCAAGTCCACGCGCGAGTCCATGCTCAAGACCCTGCTCGAGTTGGCCGACAAGGACAAGCAGGAGGTGGATTCGACGGTTGCCGCGAACGGCAAGTCCACTGCTGTGGAGCTGTAGGGAGAACAAAGAGATCAACTTTTTCAGGCTGACTATTGTTATTCCCGTCATCTACGATTACACGACACGAGTAATGCTTGAATTGGCGAGACAGAGGAGAGAAGAGTGTGGGTGGATACCCCGACTGGTTAAGGTAGCAACAACCACTGCTGAGGGGCGAGAGAACAGACTGGAGGGACATAAATCCAGTAGAAAGAAAGACGCAGCGGGAGGTAAAGTAAAGACCTTGTCTTGGAGTTCGTCTGGCCATCCATTGCATGACGCGGCCCATGGGTTTCTTTCCTAGAGTGTATATAGAGCATATTCTTAATGCTTTTTTAGACCTTCACTCCACCAAAAAACCAACCTACGTAAACCCACAACACCCACATATCGTAGATAAGATACCATCACCCCAAACAAGCACACCTCCCCTCCGCACACTCCCTAACATCCCCCTCAACATCCAACCTCCTCAACCCCTCCCACACATCCTCCTCTCCCCCCTCCCCCCTCCCAACCCTACCCCCCCTAGCAGCCGTCGCAACCAAATACCCCCCCTCAAACGCCTGCACCTCAACCCTCACCTCCTCCACCTCCCTCCCCTTCATCAACACCCTAACCCCGCGATACACCTCCCCATCCGTATCGGGAACCCTCACATCCAAAAACTCCAACTCCCTCAACCACTCCGCTAACAACGCCTCGCCCGTCATTTTAATATACGCCTCCTTCAGCGCCCAATACGCAAAGAAAACCCGATAACTATACACCACCCCTTCCGTCGACGACACCGAGTACCCGTGAACAGGATGCGTCAGGGACTTTATCAGCCCTAGTTCCCTCGCGGAGAATATCTCCGTGAAGATGGACACGTACTCCAGGAATGCGGAGCGGGTGGGTGGGGATGGGTTCCGTGGGGAGCGTAGGTGTTCTGTTGTGCTGGTGATGTCGATTCCGACTTGGATTTCTTGTTGCTGCTTGGCTGGTGTGGGGTTGGGTGGGATGGTAGTGCCTGCTAAGGCGACCATTGAGTCTTGGTGGCTGACGTTGAATTCGACTTTTGGGATTGAAGTGGTGAATGCTGCAGATGGGATGAAGCAGGGTCGGTGGTGCGGAGCTGGGGTCCGGCTGATGGTGATTTGGGACCAGGGGATGCGGCAGGTGCGGTGGATGAAGAGGTATTTGAGCAGGTTGGAGGCGAGGGACATGTGGCGGTCCTTGAGGTGGTAGTATTTCTGGATGGCTTGTTGTTCGGTGGGTTGGAGGGTCTCGAGGAGGGGGAGGGCCGGAGAGGTGGTTGTTAGGGGTCGGGTGTCGATGTACCACCGGACGAGGGTGGGTTTGGGGTCGGATGGGGTGGTCATTTTGTGTGGGTTGGTGTGGTGGTGTTCAATTGAGTGAGATGTGAGATGTGAGATGTAGTGGTTGTATCTAGCTGATGTGAGGAGGGATCGGGTGTCTATGCGGAGGTGAGATGAGGGGTTGGGTTGGTTTTCCACGAGGGTCATTGATGCATTCCGAGATTCAGGTACACCAATTATAAACCTCAGCACCCTACACAATGCTCCACAACCAGTTTATTGTCACAGCAAAGTAATGAAGGCAATAAATCTAGAATGTCAACATCCCCAATGTCAGGCTGAACGCGGGGCAGCACGTGGTGATAAGCGGTCCGACATTGATCCGCTGACATAAGGCGGCGTTGCTCCCATCAAATAAAGTATAGAGAGTTTGGAGTCATAGTTCTATTGTTGCCGCCACTGACTCACATTCTATACTTCGCCATGGGCTGCATCACCGTCGGCGTGCTCGCCTTGCAAGGCGCCTTCTACGAACATATCCAGTTGCTGAAGAGTGCGGCCGCCGATTTGCCCGCCAAAGACCGCAGTTCCGCCTCGCAATGGGACTTTATCGAAGTGCGAACCCCGCAGGAACTCGAGCGATGCGATGCGCTGGTGCTGCCCGGAGGCGAAAGCACAACCATGGCCCTTGTTGCCGCTAGGTCTAACCTCTTGGAGCCTTTGAGAGACTTTGTCAAGTATGTCTGATCGACCTTCCGCATCATTTTTCTATGGTTCATACTAATTGGCATCCCAGGGTCCACCGGAGGCCTACTTGGGGTACCTGCGCCGGTCTGATCCTCCTCGCTGAGTCGGCCAACCGCACAAAGAAAGGTGGTCAGGATCTGATCGGTGGGTTGGACGTGCGTGTCAATCGCAACCATTTCGGCCGACAGACGGAGAGTTTCCAGGCCCCTCTCGACCTGCCCTTCCTGGGCGCTAATCAGCCCGCCTTCCCCGCCGTCTTTATCCGCGCCCCCGTCGTGGAGAAAATCCTCCCTCACCAAGAGGGTGAACAAGTGGCCGAGGCTCAGCGTGAAGAAACTGTCATTGCGCCGGCGCGCCAGGCGGAAGACGAGGTCGCTCGTCAGGCCATGGCAGATAGTGTGGAGGTTTTGGCAGCTCTGCCTGGACGGGCTGCCAGATTGGCCTGCCAGGGGACGCCCATTAACGCCGATGACGAGACGGGAGACATTATCGCCGTCCGCCAAGGGAACGTCTTTGGGACAAGCTTCCACCCGGAGCTGACTGACGATGCCCGCATCCACGCGTGGTGGTTGCGCCAGGTCGAGGAATCAGTGAAGAAAAGACATGCCGCGCATCACACATGAAGGGCAATATCATGGCTGATGATGCATAGCGTTGGGTATTGGATGTAAATTTTTCTTTCTTGAATGCCTTTCTAGCAATGATAGAAATAGATTGTACATATGAAAACGCCGTTTTTGCGCCAACCTGAATATGTCTGTCTTCCCCTTTTACTTACCCTTGCCGTACTCCTCTTCCTCCCGTCGTCGCTGGTCATCCGCATAGGCACGTCCATAGCCACCACGGCCAGGGTCGTATTCCTCGCGGTACTCGTCGCGGACCTGACCACCCGATTTACCACGTCTACCAACGTCAGCAGCCTGCACCTTCGAGAACCCCGATCATATACATACCCGTATTGCCGACCCTCCTCGAAGCCAGGATCCAGATCCGTCCGGATAATTCTCTCATCCAGCTTTGTGCCGCCAATGTATTTCAAACAATCCAGCGCATCCTGGTGGGTGTAGTACTCGACGAAGCAAAATCCGCAGGGGGTCTTGTTGTACCGATCCAGACCCATAACTAGCCGCTTAATCTCGCCGCACCTGTACTCGGTCAGCTCGTTACTCGTAGATAGCGCATTCGGTGGTTTCCGCTCACTTGGCAAATAGTTCGTGGATCTGCTCTTCGGTGGTGTAGAAAGAACTGTGCTGTTAGCATGGACTTGACAAAGGCGATCATTCCATAACATACAGATTACCGACGTAAAGAGTGGTGGCATCCTTTAGGTTGTCGACGGGATCTTCAGGCTTTTCGACCTCATCGTGGCTGAACTTGCGACGCTTGTTCTGGAGAGAGTTCACCAATTAGTATTGTAATGGTTCGGTAGCCTTGGAGACGAAGCTCACCTTGCCCAGGTAGTAGGCACTCGGGCGGTCGAGGCGTTCGACGGTGTTGTGAACGAGGGTGCTCATGATGCTCGGCGTTAGGCAAGCAAGAATTGAATGAAGGGAAATAGCAATGAACGCCGGGGAGCTATGTGAGCGGAGTTCACTAAACAACGAGAGGAAGTGAGTCTGCAAAGAAGATCCGAGCAGGTCGGGAAGCTGAAGCAACAACCAACGGGAGTCTTGCTTCTTGGCGCGCCGCCCTTCTTCAATCCAGCTTCAGCTTCCGCCCAAAATTTCCCCGACGGGAGCTGTTTATTGCCTTTCCTCTCCGTCGTGCTTTCGGCTTCTTCCCTCCCCTTTCGCATTTGGCTTCAAGCGCAGGATGAGATTGTAAGGCTTGTCAATCTCAACTTGTTTGCCATAAAGAATCCCCCTCGACCATGCCGAAAGTCATCAGCTACACTCCGCCGTGGCTCTCGCGCCCGGCGCCCGGTGCCTCCATCTTTGCCAGCTCCGGCTCCAAATCACCAGAACATACACCCGGAACGAAGGACGTCGTCTATTCGGGACCTACGCGCATTCAGGCGAAGCGGGGGAATGAGCTGTTTACCGTCGTCGATAACCAGATTCGCTGGTCCAGCCTGACCAGACTGAAGGATGAATGGCAGCACAACTCCAGGTCGAATGACAAGCAGCAGTCTGAGGATCGCACTGTGCAGTACAGGGTAGGACAAGGATTAACTGTGATTTATTGCTGGTCTGAAGCTAACCTGATGCCGTATAGGTTCTGAATGTTCCTGTCTTCGAGAAAATCCGTCAATTGATTCCCTCGCCAAATGGCGCATTCCTAGCCATTGTTGCCGATCGCACCGTCTTCATCGCCGTGCTGCCTGATCCTTCCCATCTGTCTGGAACGGACAGCTCTCCCATCCGCGTGAAATCTTACCAGCTTGGCCCTACCACCCACGTCATTCCTGAATCGCCTGTGGTGTCGGCGCTATGGCATCCATTGGGCGTACACACCAACCTCGGGGGCTGTTTTGTGACTATAACGGCTGATGCTGCAGTCCGAGTGTGGGAATTGGATCGGAACAACCACTGGTCGTTTGACCGTCCGACCCTGGCTGTCGACCTGAGGAAGCTGGTGGACGGAACTTCATCGGACCAGGACTTTGCGCCGTCGGGATTCGGGAAGAACAAGGGATTCTCGGCTGACTTTATCGACATGGAAGTTGCGTCTGCTTGCTTTGGTGGCAGCGGAAATGAACGCGAGGACGCATGGGCACCCATGACTCTGTGGGTTGCAATGAGACCGGGCGACCTCTACGCTTTGTGTCCGTTGTTGCCCTCCAAGTGGCGCGCGCCGTCAACGACCATCCCCTCGTTGACTGCGGCCATTGTTCCGAAGCTGGCTTCTCTGGAGGAGGATCCTGCCGAGTATGAGGATGACCTGACTGCCTGCCGGCAGCAGTACGACTGGCTGGCCGAGATTGATAACCAGGACCCTCTACATACGGAGTTCGACTCGGAGACGGGCTCTGGTTCAGACGTCCTCACGCGCCCAGCCAATCCCAGCGCGATCCCCAGGTTACAGGGCCCGTTCCGGTTCGACACGGGCGATGAGATCGATGACCTGGACCTCTGCGATATCCTGGTCATCGGTGCCAAGGTCGATCTCGATGCGCTCATGATGGGTGAGGAGGTGCGCGCTCTGGAAGACAGCGGAGATGACCGTCTGTCCGCCACGGTCATCTGCCTTTCGACTGGAAGCGGTAGGATTCATGTCTGCCTCGAGCTCGATGGCGTTGAAGGACAGTGGCTCCCTAAGGCGAAGAAGAACGTCTTCAGCACTCCTGTCTCCGAACCATCCGATCTCCTACTCGTGGAATCATTGGACACAATTAGAGGGGAGCGTGACTCGTCCAACAACTGGCCTACTTTCACAAAGGATGCCTACTCGCGGTACAGCTTCTTCGTTACGAACACCAACAACGTCACCTATATCTCTCTCACTTCCTGGGTTCAGCGACTCGAGGCTGAGCTGCAGTCAGAGGACACCGTCGGCAGCTCTTTCCGCCTGCAGATCCTTTGCGAAGGCACTGCGTCTTTGAGAGAGCGGATTCTTGAGGTTGATGGAAATGCCGCAGGCGCCAAAGACTTGACGGGCCACCTACCAGCCGCATTGGTGTACTACGATTACGATCTGGGCTACTTGCTACTCACATCCCACTCCTCCACTCCTCACGCTGCCATCTTGGACGCACCAGAGGTTCTTCCCTCCATTGCCGATCTCCACATCTTCGACCCGGAGGAACAAGTTCCGGGTTCGCCCATCCTGCCCCCTCGTCGGCCTCCATACCAAGTTCCCGCCATCTTCTACGCGGAGCCCCCTCTAGAGTTCTTCATCGACAAACACGTCCCGCACCGTCAACGCCAGGCCTTGAAGGAACAAGTTCGGCTATCCCCTGCTACGCTGGACCTGGTTGCAGCTGCGCACCGCATCCTGTCCGCCCACACCAACGCCCTCGAACGCGCTGCATCAGACCTCTTCCGCCGCTGCGAGCGTTTGCAGGGCGAGATGCGTGATCAGCTGAAACAGCTCGCCGACGTGGCTGACCGAGTCAAGGGCGTGTCCAGCGAAATCGGCGAGGATGGCAAACGGATGGAGGGGTCCCGCAACGGAGAAGCACTCGACCAGCGACTGCAGGCAGCGAAGGACAAGCAGGCACAGCTTGTACAACGCTACGAAGCACTGCGTAATAAGGTCCTGAAATCCGGTGGCCGGCCACTCAGCGATAAGGAGAAGTCGTGGGTTACTGAAGTTGAGACGTTGTCGGAGTCGGTGGATCAGCCAGAGGGCGAGGGCGACCTGACACAACGACTCTCTGCTGTAAGTTCATTCCAGTATGTCTATCAAATATGATACTAACAACTGTATAGGTTAAGGAGATTGCCGGCGATCTCCTCAGCGAGGCCAAGACGCTCGCAGTCAAGTCGCCCATCGCCGCTGAACCGGGCAGTCCAGCGTCACCAGGTGGTGCTCAACCTCGCGTTTCGGTTTCAGCACGACTACAAAAGCAAAAGGTTGCGGATGCTATGCTGATGGTGGAACGAGAGTACGTCTGCTTCATTCTTTATGTTTTTGGGGTCATATACTAACGAGATACTCTAGATCGGCCATCATCGACAACATCACATCGCGTCTCGAACGGCTCAACACAGCGTTATAATGGATACCACAGTAGTAGAAGCATGCATGAACTGGCTTGATTTGACTTGACTTGAAATACTACGAATGCAATCACGGTCAATCTTCACCCACATCCTAGACACACATCATATCGATGAGACCGTAGAAATAGAAGAATCCCTCTGATCCTCCACCCTCGCCCTCGCCATCGCCATATTCATCTCCATATCCTCTTCATCAGCCGTATCCCTCCTCTTAGGCCCCCGGACCCTCCCTCTCCCAAACCGTCTCTTCTCCCTCCCCATCACACCAGTGCCATGACAAACGCGCGACGAAGCAATCGAATCACAAACTCTACTCAGGTCACACCGAAGCACCACCAGTTCTTCCTCTGATGAGGAGGACTCTTCTATATATTCTTCCACCTCACCCACATCCCCCTCTCCCTCACCCTCTCCATACCAACCCTCATCACTACTCCCACCACTACCACCATCGCCACAATTATAATCATCATCATGCTCTCCCACCCCGACCTCCTGAACACCATCATCCTGACCATGCTGTTCATCATCTACATCCAAACAATCAAACTCAACACTCGAGTCAAATCCCTCAAGACATGCCATCAGAGTGTATAGTCTGTTCATCCTCCGTTCGGAATATCTGCTGCTGTCGCTGCAAGCTTCGCAGAGAAGATTATTCCGTCGACGCGTTCCCTCGACGATTATCATCTCGCGCCGGATACACCGGTTCCAGGGGATGAGACGGCAGGGAGTGAAAGTTGTGGTGGTGAGGCAGCCGCAGAGGGGGTGTTTGGTTGTTAGGGTTAGGCACATTCTTTTTTTTTTGAGTGGGAGGGGAGTTGAGGGTGGGTTTCTGGGTTTGAGAGTGGTTAGTATGGTCATTGTCAAGGCAACTGTATGCTGGGTTGTATGTGTTGGAGTGTGGGTGGGTTGGATGAGGCACTAGGAGGGATGGATATATGTCTGTGGCGCGGGTAGTAGGTGGATGTGTTGTCTGTTGGGTGAGATAGAGAGAATGATGCATGGCGATAGTGTTTAGAATATGATGATAGAGAACAGAATGAAGGCACATGAGGTATATAGATATTCTTAAAGGTATTGTTGGTGGATGGTACTTACCTCTTCTCAGGATAGGATAATCCTAGTAGGGTTTGATGCTCACGTGAAGAATGAAGAGTAGTAGTGAATCGAATCACATGGATGAATCTGAGTGATCTGAGAAGGAGACGATCAGTGCTTTAAGTATTGTATTCAAAGAAAGTTAAAGAGCGAAGAAACTCTGGTCTCTCTACTAAGCTGTGAGACGTGGTATAAACGGCAGGTGGTGTCGTTTGGCAGCGTCGGTATGGGAACTGTCAGATTATAACGGGCAAGTGTCTGGGTGTTTCCGACTAAAACCAGACAGCGCTACAGTGAATGTTTTGTCAAAGCAATTTATATTTTTGATCCCAAGCAATGTATGGATGTGTCCACACTTGAATAAAGAAATAGCCGAAATATCCAACCAAAGCAATTTCCCAAGCTGTATGCATGTTCTTATTCAATATCGGTCATGACATCCGTAGCCCCAAATATGAACAGCCAAGAACTCCAGAGTCTCGTCTAACACCGTACTTCGTGCAGCTTGTCGTTCAAGATGGAAGAGCTAATAGCTCTGTGGACCTGTTGCGAAGGCTTTCCAAGTTCGTGCTGTTGCCTCGCCACCTTCAACTTTTTGCGTGATGGCCGTGGCCAGATCATCCACAGCGACCTCGTACGATGGAGCATAGAAGACAGTCTGCGACAAAGGAATTAACTTTCGGATCTCCGTATCAAAATCCCCCTGCTTCCAGGCATTGAACGCCGGGAGGACATCCGACGGTAAATGGGAATCGAAACTTTTGGTCGCCAGATAGAGGTAGACAAAAAATCTGGCGTAGTAGACTCCACAACGAGAATTCCACACTAATTCATCATAAAATTCCTTATAGGCTGTGTATCTGCGCCGGTGCGAGCCCAGAGTGATCGAACCTTCAGGGATTTTGAGGTCCGCCACCGCAATAGGCTGGGCTCTGACAGGCTTGTTGTCCTTGTCCCACCCAAAGAGGAGCTGGACAGATTGAAAATGCCGATGAAGCATTGGAGAGTCTTCGTCAGCGTGCAGGTACTCGTACCTCCTTCGGTACCAGGAGTTACAGATCCGCATAATCATAATGGCTCTGTAGGCCTCGAAGCGTAATTGTGATACGACGTGGATTAACTTCGTGGGAAGGATTCTAAAAAGGTGTGGTGGAAGATAGATGCATTCAGCTCTTATGCCAGACTGAGTCAGGACGTCGTTGATGCGTTGTTCTGAGACCGACAGCATGCCCTGCTCAGCCAGGTAGGCGTCGACGGAACCAGGCGACGGTGAGAAAGGGAATTTCGTAGACTCAGGCGCCGACGAGGACATCTTATTGAGTACTACCTGAGATGGAATGTGAGGTGAAGCGATGAAAGATGGGAGATCTTCAGATGGAGAGACTGCAAAAGACCGGACTGCACTTGTGCAGAGAGACGGAGAGAGCTGAAGCTCTCGCGGAAGCTCCCCCATCACCGCCTCCATCTGCCTAGTCGGGCAGGCTAGTCGGACAAGGATGGAAAACCATAAATGTGATTGGAATGGACTTCCAGCTTTCCATTCCTTCATCTTGATCCATATTTGCTAGCACCAGGTTGATAGTCGGGATAGTAAAGGTAGAAGAAGAAGAGGAAGAAGCAACGTAGCTGCAAATGATGATATCCCAAGCCAGTGTGATCGATGAGAAGCTTTGACAGATCTGATGGTCTGACGAACAGGAGTAATAGCTATCGGTGTCACCTCAACAGACAAGTAGGACAAGATCCGGGGGAACAACAACCTTGCACTCCGGTCTTGTGCTGACGACGTAGAGTGAGTCGATGACTTGAACTGGTTGATTATTAGGCTTATGTTTGCTGATGAATAAAGCTGGTTTAGAAAGGTAGATACTGAGATGTAGAACATGATCTACTTGTAGAGTTGTAGATAGATCACGGCCGGTACGCTATACAATAGGACGAAGGTCAGCACGAAATCACTATGATACCACATTCAATAGCAGGGGGCAAGCACTGCAGGTTGGACAAACCGGATGAAAGATCAACTTATTTGGGCCATTGATATAAGGCGCCTCTCATATGCAAGTCACACTTTCTTTCCTCCCATCCAAGTTAATAGCAACAGTCTGCACCATACAGTCACCGTCTTGCAGCGCTTGATATACGACTCAAAGATACGTTGTGTACATTGATGAAGACTACATATCTACGTTGAATGACAAATTGCGAAGAAGAACTCATGTGAAAAAAAGATAGAGATCTCTTCCAAGTAAATACCCGTAGTATATATGTCATTCATAAAAATTTACTGAACCCTGCAATATCCAATGCGTTAGCAAGTGCTGATCAACAATGCAAATCTCTGAATTGCACTCAGATTACGTACCGTTCAATCAAATGGACACCAGAGGCCGTCTCCACAATCCCACTGACCTGACCAGGCTGGAGTGCAAAGGCGGCGTCCTCAAACTCTTTCTGCATCTCATTCCGTCCAAAGAAGCCCCTAACATAAATTAGTCAAGTACCTGCAGCGGTATCATAAATACGTACAGATCTCCACGTTTCCTAGCACTGCTGCAGTCGGACTCCGATACAGCAATGTCACCCAGACTGGCTTCTCCCGCATTGATGCGCGCCTCGTGGCTCCGGAGGATCTCGATAGCCTCCTCTTTCGAACGGGTGATTTCAGCTTCCCTCCAGCTGCTGGGACGCCTACTGTCCCTGTGCTTAACGAGAAGATGGCTGCAGCGGATCTTGCCCTCATTGTGACCGTTACCATCAGAGCGTCCTGCGGGTCCGCTATGGTAGTTGGCCATATAGAACTTGAGCTTCTCCGTATCTGTGTCGGCCGGCGGCTCCCAGCGAGACTCTTTCGTCATAGGGTTGAAGTAGTAGGGAAGGTTCTTAGAGTTGGAGTGGCGAACCTCCCAACCTGCCGGAAGACCTGTCTCTACCTGTAGTGTTTACAGTCAGCACAGATGCCAAATTTGGTAAACATGATCTTCTCTGATAGGATTGAGTATCGGCATACCATGTTGTGAAAGAGGATGTGCGTATATCTAAAATCTGCGGAAGAGTCTATAGCTTCACGAAGGAAGACAAGGATCCAGAAATGACGCGGGGGGACTAGTGGAGTTATATAAAGTTGCAGAAGTCGGAGAGGCTTTGCTGGTACTTGCAGCTGCGGGACAAACTGCGGGGGAGGGATGGCTGCAAACACTGCAAACATTGACGGGGCGGTGAGCTGCAAGTCATGGAACTAGCCGGTGGTGCTTGGTTCAACGCTTCTTCCGACTTCCATTGACGATCCCCCCGGCCATCTCTCTATTCCCATCAGCCACTATTCGCGTCTTTCGTTTTCTATCTGTTTCAAGTGAAAGCTTTCCAGCGGATACAACACACTCGCTCCATATCTATACGCGTGAACTCATTACTTTCCGGCACACTTCATCAGTAAAACAAACCCCGAAAATGTCTGCCAGCCCATCCCCCTCTGCCGGTGGCGATAGCAAGCCCACCGATCAAATTCACTTTCGATTCTGTCGCGAATGGTAAGTTTTGATCTCTTCATTCTTGTCGAACCTTCTGCTAACGTCTACAGTTCCAACTTGCTCTACCCGAAGGAAGACCGCATCAACAACCGGTTGATGTTCACCTGCCGAACCTGCCATGTCGGCGAGCCCGCAACCTCCTATTGCGTTTACCAAAACAAGCTCAGCACTCAAGTCGGAGATACCGCTGGTGTGACCCAGGATGTCGGATCTGATCCTACGGTTTGTCTCCCGGGTTTCTGTGATCATTGTGGGGAAGAGATTACCTGCTTCGTCTGTGACACATCCTCCGAGGACTCCTGGTCCGAAGAGGATTATGATGGCTTTTCGTCGTCATGAGGTCCAGCATGCGCCGCGCTCGCGTCATGGATACATTCCAAGTTGTCTTGAAGTTTCCGTGGCTAACCCACTCTTTCCTTAGCTTCCTCGTTCCAACAAGCTCTGCCCGAGCTGCGGCGAAGCCGATGCAGTCTTCTTCCAGTCGCAACAGCGTTCCGCAGAAACGGGAATGGTAAGCCTTCATGCCGCTTCATCCCGTATCCATGAAGGTATCGGCTGACGCTTACTTTCTAGAAACTTTACTACGTCTGTTGCGCGTGCGGCAATGTTTTCGTCTAATTCTCGATTTGCCATACTACATGTCATGTACCTGATACCCGATCTTGGTTTTTGTTCCGTTAAGCAGCATTTTTTGTGGAGTTCTGGCGATGTTTGGGCAAAGAAAAGGGGAGTTTGAAAAGAGAAAGAAATTTCTATTGCTACAAACGGGATAAATATAAGAACAATTCGCTTCCAAATAAAAGGTATATCCTACACATGCATCGGCGCCAACGACAGGATCTTTGACCACTGTCGTCCTCGTAGTTCCGTAGCCACGACACCTAGTATATGTCAGTAAAGCTAATCTCCTAACACCGTCTCGATCATGTTCCGCAGTGGTCGGCTAGACTGACCGTTCATTCTTGTTCCGATGGGGTCTCCGGACTTGTTGACGAGAACACAGGCATTGTCATCGAACTTGACGATCGAACCATCCGGGCGCTGCATTTCCTTGGCCGCGCGGACGACAACGGCATGGCGAATGTCTCCTCGGCGAACCTTGTTTGCGATACCGACGTTGTTGCTGCTGTCGGGGCCGAAATTTCGTTGCTTCTGGACCACGACCACGATGCGGTCACCTATTCATCCCGGAACCCCAACATCAGTGTTATCCCTTTGATAGTAAATGGAAACGGCGAAATGATCGTACCAACGGTGGCGGGGCGCTTCTTTTTCAGGACATTCACGCACTCGACAACGGCGGCGCCGGAGTTGTCGATGCAGTTGAGCATTGTCTGGATCGGGGGTTTGTCAGTCCGCGAAAATTTCCTCTCCCCCATCATAAACACCAGTAGATACGCTCACACACCTTTAATTGAATCATCTTGACTGTGTACCCTGTCCGGAGGTGGAAAGAACGTCGGGGGGAGTGAGGGGAGTATAGAGAGAGATGGGGATGGCCGAAAGAAAAGCAGCGCCAGGCAGTTTGGCGGGCCGGCAGGTTTCGCCGACGACCGACCCCGGACGGGGACACTGCAGCAGCGACCAGCGCCAGCCTTCACATTAATTATTACTATCATGTCAATCTGCGAGTTTGTCCTTTCATGCGCGCTAACTTTCACTGCCTCTCCTTCGTTTCCTTTGTTCATCATGCCAGTCACTCCTCTTCGTATTCACGTCGTTCCCTAAAATTTTTCTTCTCAATCCCGCTCCTTTCCCACCCCCCAAAATTGTTTGGCGCCCATATATATTTCTAGTAGTCTCGTCTTCTCTGCTTCCCGACCTTCCGCTGTTTCTTCCCCTTGACGCTTTGACGCCTCATTCTTACCATTAATCCCACCCACACTCTTATCACCCCCTCAAATCCTCTTGCATGGGATCGTCTGGGTCGACATTTCACGATGCCGGTCTCCAAGGCAAAATCCAGCCCCTCCGATGACCGTCGGGATCGGCTTACGCTCGCGAAACTGGCCAGCTACGACGACGTCGCAACAGATGCGCTGGTTGACCGTGTACGTTTATGACCCTCGATTGGCCGTCATGTAGCTGGTCGCTGACTGTACTATCCTCGCAGGCGTACTTTTGGACCAACACTCGCAAGAATCGCACTAAATACAACCCCGCCCGCGGCATCAGAGATGATGATGTGGCTAGCACTCTCCTTCACGATGTCATTGTCAACAAAGACGCTGCCAAAGCGGAAGAGAAGCTGTTGAGCATGCCAGGTCTCAAGAAGTACCTGGCTAAGCTGCCCACTGACCGGGAGAAAGAATGGTTTCGCCGCCATCTCCGCAAATACATCCAGATGTATCTCCCTGATTCCCCCTTTGAGGTGACTACGACCAATCGCTACACGGTGACCGAGCATGAGGCTGCCATCTGCGCCCGCAAATTCATTAAGCAGGGCCAGGAGATCAAGTACCTCAGCGGGACCCTCGTACCCATGACCAAGGAAGAGGAGCAGGATCTGGATCTGAAGAGAAAGGATTTTAGCATTGTCATGTCGAGTCGCAGAAAAACCCCCTCTTTCTTCCTGGGTCCCGCTCGGTTCGCCAATCACGATTGCAACGCCAACGGTCGACTGGTGACGCGCGGCATGGAAGGCATGCAAGTCGTTGCCATCCGCAACATTCATATCGGAGAGGAAATCACCGTGTCTTACGGAGAGGATTACTTTGGCATTGACAATTGCGAGTGTCTTTGTTTGACGTGCGAACGGGCCGTCCGCAATGGCTGGGCGCCTCAGCTCGATTCCGACCAAGAGAGTCCCGCTTCCACGCCAGCTTACGACGAGCCTGCGCCCTCTGAGGCTCTCCTTTCGCCCAGGAAACGCAAGCACGTCTCCGACACCGATTCAGAGAGCTCTCCCTCGTCGACTCCCCGCAAACGAACCAAATTTACTCGCCAGAGCTCCAAGTTGAGATCCGAGGTCGTGTTTTCTGATCTCACACCCTCGATCGAGTCTTCCACGGTCCAGCCAGCGGGCACCGGGCTTTCCTCCCAAGCTTTATCCGTGCCACACGCTGCCGCAGCCGAAACCGCCAATGACCACGTCATCGACAACAAGAGCGACACCCATGCCGAATCGACCGCGCAAAGCACCACCACTACCACCGCCGATCCTGATTCACCTGGTTCACTGGACGATTCGCACCGCTCGTCAACTTCAACAGCCGCAACGTCCGTTTGTGACAACTCGGTGCAAATCAAGGTCGAGGAAATCACCGAGACTACCGTGCAGGCACCAGTTTCGACTGTCGAGGGACGCCTTGATCTCTCCACTGAGCCAGAACGACGTATGCTCGGTGTAGACAACGATGCATTGTCGGACTTGTCAGACTCACTGGAACTCGACGAGAAGCTCGGTACCGTGGTGAAAAAGTCCCGAAAATCCCGCAGCAAGGAAGTGGTTCCTTCAGTCGAGGTTGAGCCACCCCGTGCTCGGGTTCCTGGCGACTACACCAAAACCTCGAAACTTCTAGCACAAGCGTACGACCGCTGGGTGGATTGCCGCACATGCAACGCCTGGTTTGTGCAGCAAGATTCCTACCTGACGCGACGTGAGTGTCCCCGGTGCGAACGGCACTCCAAGCTGTATGGCTTCCAGTGGCCGAAAACCGACAGAGAGGGCCCTGGGGATGACGAGGAACGTGTGATGGACCACCGCACTGTGCACCGATTCTTGTACCCCGAGGAAGAAGCGCTCATTTCGCGCAAGGACCGCGGTGTCAGTTTTGGAATAACCCCAACGCCCGAACTGTCCGAACCTCACGCAGAGACCGAGGACAGTGAAGCCGGCGAGGACCGACGCAACACGCGCGCCAGCCGACGACGTACCCGGTCCCTTCGGATGACTATGTAATGATGGATACGGATCGATTTTGGGAGTACTAATCCTGGAGTTTGGTTTTTCTTTGGAGTCCGGTGGAGTCCGGTTTGGAAGAATAGGCGTTTTTATCACAGTGGGCACGAGCGTTGCCATGAGCCCGGCGATATTGAAAGGCTTTTTGAGACGTTTTAAAGATCTTGCTTCCCATTCATCTGGTCTGGCTTTGGCTTTGTCCAGTCTAATGATTCCGCATTTGGTTACCCTGTATAGATTACTGCTCGTTTCCCGGCCCTTGGTACACTTCTGTACTTACACGACTTTATCCCCAACCCGGGGTCTTGGAATTAACTTATTTTTACCCGTCGGCTGACGGACATTGCTTGAAGAATCTTTTCCTCCTCATCCTTCCCCCCGCAAATTGCTGGTGCCGCATCTCCGCATCTCCGTCATGCTGCATCGTGGAGGAGAATAATTGCACCAATGGCAGCCCTGTCGGCGCTTTGATCCCCTTGGATTTCTTGTCCTCATGATATTCTCGTGCAGGTATTCCAGGAACTCCGATATTGAATCTTAATGAACTTCGGTCTGCTTCATACCGACCTCACTCTACCATCGCAACCATGATGTCCTATAAAACGCTGCTGCTCTCGGCGCAGCTCTTCCCTGCCAGGACCACCAGGGATACTACCACCACCTACAGCCATGGCCTTCTCACGCCTCCTGCTAGCCCTGTGCTTCCTGCTAACACACTCCCTCACCAGCGCCTACGACGCCCCCCTCGTCACTCTAGACTATGGCACCTTCCAGGGCAGCTATGATGCCACCTACAACCTCTCCTACTTTCGCAAAATCCCCTTTGCAGCACCCGCCACAGGCGAGAACCGCTTTCGAGCTCCCCAGCCGCCGCTAAACATCACTACCAATGGCACCTACGACACCGACCAATCCTTCGACATGTGCCCTCAACGCACCGTCAACGGCTCCGAAGACTGCCTCTATTTAGGTCTCTACTCCCGACCCTGGGACACCTCTTCATCTACCACCAGCCGCCCCGTCCTCGTCGTCTTCTACGGCGGCGGCTTCATCGAAGGCGATGCCCTCTTCGGCATGCCCCCCAACGCCTACCCCGTCCTCAACGTCAGCACCCTAAACGACTACATCGTCGTCTACACCAACTACCGCGTCAACGCCTTCGGCTTTCTCCCCGGCCAAGCCATCAAAGACTCACCCACCTCCGACCTCAACCCAGGCCTCCTCGACCAACAATACGCCCTGAAATGGGTCAACACCCACATCCACCACTTCGGCGGCAACCCCAACAACGTCTCCATTTGGGGCCAATCCGCCGGCGGAGGCTCCGTCGTCGCCCAAATCCTCGCCAACGGCCGCGGCTCGAACCCCAAACTCTTCTCCAAAGCCCTCGCCAGTTCCCCCTTCTGGCCAAAAACCTACGCCTACAACGCCCCAGAAGCAGAAGCCATTTACACCCAGCTCGTCAACCTAACGAACTGCACCACCGCCTCCGACACCCTCAAATGCCTGAAAGACGTAGACGTCCAATCCATCCGCGACGCAAGCCTCATCATCGACGCAGACAACACCTACACCACCTCATCCTACACCTGGGCCCCCGTCATCGACGGAACCTTCCTCATCGAACCCCTCACTTCCACTATCTCCTCCAACTCCTTAAAGACAGACCTTATCTGGGGCATGTACAACGCCCACGAAGGCGAGAACTTCATCCCTCCAGGCCTAGAAGACACAGACACAACGAACGGATTCAACTCCTCCCTCGCGTCCTTCCATAACTGGTTAACCGGGTTCCTCCCCGGTCTTGATACAAACGATATAAATCTCATCTCATCGAAATACTACCCTGTCTCTGGAACAGCAGAGACACTATCCTATAACACGACGTTCGTACGCGCAGGGCTGGTGTACAGAGACGTGGTGCTCGCCTGCCCGGCGTATTGGGTTGCTTCTGCGGCGAAGGAGAAGGGGTATGTAGGGGAATATGTGATTCCGCCAGCAAGACATGGGAGTGATACGGAGTGGGTATGTTGTTATCATCCCTTTTATCTTTCGTTCTGGTTTATGTAGTACATGCTGTCTATGGAGATGATACTGATAGTGTGAATGTAGTGGGACACCGTTTCGAGCGTACAACAAACCGACCCGTTAATCTACGACGGCTACGCGGGCGCATTCGGCAGCTTTTTCCAGACGGGGGACCCCAACGCACATAAATTGACGAATGGGTCGGAGCCCGGCGTGCCGGAGGTACAGCAGTCAGGGGAGGAGTTTGTGATTGCTACGGAGGGGTTTGAGAATGTGGGGTTGACGGAGTTGAAGGATCGGTGTGCGTTTTGGAAGTCGGTTGGGGGGAAGATTCCTATTTAACTGTTTATTTTCATTCACTGTGGTTGTCTATTCAGATGATGGGTGGGTGTTGTTTATAGTGTACTGGTGTGGTGAGGAAGAGGAATCTAAGTAGAGAGATGATGTGGTGGGGAAATATACAAATTATAATACATGAGGTACAGCCGTGTATATCCTGAGTGATGCTTCGAGTCAATGCATACATACAATGCATGTCGTCTAAATATTATCTTTCCTGGTTGCCGTTCTCCAAACGCCGTCGTCAGAGGCTCCGTCAGTTGTAAGTTGACTGGGCCGTAGTTGAATAATAGTACAGATTGTGCTTGTCGTTGGTGTCGTTGCTGCCCCTAAATCAAGGCCTGGCCGCGGAACATGCCCTCGCGCACTTCCTTGACCACGTCCTTGCGGTCCTTCTTGCCGACCAGGACCACGGCACGACCACGCTTGCCCATGCGGCCGAGACGGCCGAGACGGTGGATGAAGTCGATCGTGTTGTGCGGGACGTGGTAGAGGATGACCGTCTTCACGGCGATGGTGTCAATTCCGCGAGAGGCAATGTCTGTCGTCACGAGAACCTTGGTGTTCGGCAGGCCACGCTCCATGCCCGGCTTGTTCTGCTGTTCAGGGTAGACAAAGGGAATGGAGTTGTCCTGGCGGCGCTTGTTCTTGGCTAGCATAATCTCCTCTGCGGTGGGAGGGATCGGGGACTCGGTGAACTCTTCCAGCAGTTCCTCCTGCTTACGGCTGCTGGAGTCGCGGGAGAAGGACTGGGCGTCGATACCCTTTGAGCGCAGGAACTGGGCTACCTCGTCGGCTTCTTCACGCTCGTTGACGAAGACCAGGATCTTCTTGACCTTGGGTCCGGCCTGGGCCAGGAAGGGATGCGTCGGTTCGGTGTCGCCTGCCTTTCCAATGGACCAGATCACGTCGGCGCAGGCCAGGTTGCGGTTGCCACGGTAGGGGTCCCGTTGGATGTCCACCACTCCCAGCTGAACACGACGGGGGATGGCATGCAGGTTTGGTGTCGTCAGTCGGCGAATGTCGGGGTAGCGCTTACGAAGGAGATTGTCGAGACTGCGGGGAATGGTTGCGGAGCAGAGGATGAGCTTGTGAAGAGAAGAGGCCGACTTTTCGATGATCTCGGTCGTTGTGGGCAAGAAGGAACGGTCCATGAGCGAATCTGCCTCATCCAGCACCAGGTGGCTAACGCGACTCAGCACATATGGATCCGTCTTGGCGATCGAGGCAAGCAGGTGGGGAGTGGCGACGAGGACGTCGATTCCGCTCGGGTTGAAAAGGATGCTCTTGATACGACGTGGGGTCAGGTTGGACGAGATCATTCCCGACCGGTATTTGACCGTGTGCGAAAGAGCCTTGACTTTGGCGCCAACCTGGGCAACCAGCTCGGATGTCGGGACGAGGATAATGACCCGGGGTCTACCTGCGTCCGACAACGGAGGCTCTTCCGGGGCAATGTCGAAAGCCCGGTTCTTGAGCTTCTCCTCCCGTTCCTTGGCCTTTTGTTCCGCCTCCCGCTTTTCAAATTCCTTGTCCTCCGCTTCCATACGCTTCAGGGAGTCGATCATGGGAATCAGATAGGCGAGCGTCTTTCCAGACCCGGTCTCGGCAGCCAGAAGATATTGTTCATAATTCGGTTCATCGTTGAAAACATCTTTCGATGTTCTCATCGGGACAGGGTCTTTCAGGAGTTGTGGGATAGCAAGGCGTTGAATGGGAGTTGGTACAATGTCCGCCAGTCCGGGGAGAGCTTGAGAAGAGATCGAGTGGCGCACGACCGGCAGCAGAGGAAATTGGTCGAAACTCGAGACTTCTGCGATCTTATTCTTGATAGCGGTTCGGCGACCGTATGGGATGGGCGCCAATGCCGTTTGCATCTTGAGCGCCTTGTAGAGAGGACTGTCCGGCTTCTGCTTATCATCTTCAGCATCCCCGGAGCGCTTGAGAGCTGCCCGAGACCTTGACCGTGGCGCATCCCGAAGGCGCGCTTCCGTTTGGTTCATGCCCGACCAGGGGCCGCCACGATCTCTTCTCGAACGTCCCTCCTTCAGGGAAGACTTGTCGACATTGGAGGACAGAACCATGCGGGCGGCCTGGCGGCGCTGTCGGACAGTTGCCATGGAGCGGACGGCCTGCCATCCGGCGAGAGGAGAGGACATGGTCGCCTGCGTCTGACAGAGCAGACAGACTTGAGGCCGAAGCGGCAGAGACAGTCTGCCCAGGCGATTCATGGTGAGGATGGGGGGTGGATGAGAGAGAGTGATGAACGCTCGTCAAGAATCTTCTACCACTAGTTTTATCTTTTGCCTCCGGAGCTCCAATCCAAAAAGAATCAGCAGCCGGTCCCGTGCCAGTCCGTAAGGGGAAGGCGCTCGGGCCACAGGAACGATCCCCCGCTAATCCCAAATCAGACTGGTGGGATCGGGGAAACCGCCAGGCGACGAGGTGTCGAGGTGTCGAGGCTGGCCAGACAGGCGCTCAGGCCAAGTTCAGGCCAGGTTCAGGCAGTCTCAGGTGTGAAGTTGCCATGGAGACTCCCGACGCCAAAATGTCAACAGCGTCAAGCTGCGATTCCCAGCTTCAGCCGGTTTGCGAACGGCTTCGAACTACTTATTAGTCAACTTGTCAACACTGTCTGTTCGGGTGTTTCTGTTTACTCCTTCTCCCGTCACCTTCACTCTCAGTCCCCCCCCGTCTTCTTGTTTTTACTTCATCCTCGTTGGTCCGGTGGTGGATGGTGTGTTGGTTGTCTTCTTCCCTTGCAATTGTCTATCCTGTCCAGCGTGCCGTCATTGTTGCACATCGCCCATTTTCACCATCTCGGTTGCCCTGTTCTGCCTACGATCAGCATCCCTTCGTTTGTCGGACCAATTTTTTTTCGCAGTAGTTTCTTATCAAAAGTAAAGAAAGAACCTGACGAATCGGCTCTCTTTCGCATGATCGCCATTTTGTGACGCATCTCATTTACCCCATCTTGTTACGATTCCCATGAGCTGCTGCTTAACGTCCGAGTGAATTTTAATCCAAGCGACTCAATTATTGTCCGCGTTCTGTTCTTCATTTGCGCTGGTTCGTTTCGGACTATTTCTAACGACCTCGTTGCGATCGACTCATCCACCTTTTTCGCCTCCATTCGTCTCAACCAGGTATGGGCGCGTTCCAGTCCGGCAAGGGATAGCTATGATTGCAGAGACCTTGCATTGCTGCGTTGTGACGAAAGAAGCCATTGCTGATTCAGCTGCCTGCAGCTGTGTTTTCTTCCAGGCGCGCTTGTCGACTGGCTATTTTTGCCTCTTTTGAATCACCAGTTGTTGTCGTGCATTTTCCACCAAGATGGGCAGCAGTACCACGCAAAGGCCGCTGTCCGAAGTAAGCCCGATGGCTCAACGACGAAACTCCCCAAGTTGGAATCAGAGTACCAAAGTAGGTCGCTCCACGTGCTGTTGTTAATCCTCCGACATCTGGACCTGACCATGTCGCTCCAGATGAAGTCCCAAGAAGCATCAGCGTATGAAGCACCCGCATCACCGCGTCTTTTCTGGCAGGGCCGTGAGTCGGGCTCTCCCTTTCCCAAGAGCTCGGAGAACCAGAGCCCTTATGACCCAGACGCCTCGTTCTCGCCATCCAAGCGTCCCTCCCTTGAGAATCTCAAGCGCGCCTCGAGGGTCAAGAACAGCAACATGTTCCGCGATCACAACCAGGAGTACGATCCGACCAATGTCTATGTTCCACAGAGGCCCTTGGCCACTAGTCGCTCGCCACAGAAGCAGGCCTCAAATGCGCCCCCTGCGCGACAGGCAGAGTCCCACGACAGTAACCCGAGCGGGCCCCGCCCCCCTTCTCCGAGCAAGGACCAAGTCCCCCCAGCGAAGTCTTCCCTGTCGCGAGCCAGTCGCTTCGGGTTCAGAGACGCATTTGACCCCGAAAGTGAGATTTGGTCTGACATTGATGGAAGTCGACATGCCAAAAGCGTGACGTTCGACGCCGCTCAGCCCCAGGTGCACGAGTACGAAATGACCACGCCTGATCCGTCCTCCATCGCTTCTGGCTCCCGCGAAGGCAGCTATGATTCAGAAGAGGATGAAGGGGATATCAGTTTTGATCGCGAATCCTCCCTCGACCGTGATGACAGTTTCGATGCGTCCTTGGAAGACCTCGAGAAGACCCCAGTTGTCCTGCCCGAAGACTGGCGATACATGAGTCCCGCCAGCGCAAACGACGATCTGGTGAAAGACGAAGAAGATCCTTTTACGGAAGACGACGAAAACCACAGCCCCGACCCGCGGCCATCCACGCAGCAAGGTCCGCCTGTCCAACATGCTCGCGTCGAGTCGCTGGACTCCAATGGCGAACGCCGTCCCTTGCCCCCGCTTCCTCCAACCAATCGCCCGTCCTTTGGCCAGCGCGGCTCGTCTCCACAGAAGCTGTCTGCAGCCTTTGAGCTGGCAAGTGGAGGTCAGCGAGTGTTGCCGTCTCCTCCGGGCCCCGCCACGTACAGCAAGTCGGATATCACTGAACGTGCTCGTGCATCCATGTCTCTGGAAGATAGGCTACGTCTCATGATGATCCAGGAAAACGAACGGAAGAGCAAAGACTCAGACCACGCGGATCACCAGGCGCCCAAGCCAGACACAGAGACTGAACATGACCTAATTAGCGACTTCGAGGACGATGACAAGATTTCAAACCCAGAGGAGGCTGCCAAAGATCACGATGAAGAGGCTACGGAGGTATTCTCTCCTCCGCGCATCTCCCGGGATTCCATTCTGAGAGACATCCGTAAGAGTGAGAGCTATGTCGACGACTCCTTCGAGGAGGATTCGCAGATCGAATCAAGCCCCCACCACTATATGCATTACGACCCTGACGTCCCCATCCCATCCCTGGAGGACGATGATGACGAATACCACGATGACGACGATGATGACCAGAGCAGCGTGGTGATAAAGCCCGAAGAGCACGATGACGATCTTTATGACATTCCGGAGTATTATGAAACTGTTCAGTCTCAAGCTTCTTCCTCAAAAAGCCTGAAAGACCATTTGCCTTCCAACGAGGAGGGCGATCAGCCCAGCTTGCCTCAAGAGGACGAAGTCAGGGCGCCGCAGAGCGAGTCACAAGAGTCCGAAGACAGACAATCCACACCTGTTCCTGAAGTACGAGAGGAGCCTGCTGCCGAGCAATCGCAAGCAGAACCAGAGCCAGAACCCCAACCCAAAGAACTGTCGGCTCCAAAGATGGCAGCCATGAGGGAAGCGCTGCAGCGACCCTCGACACCGGATAACCAGGATCAAATCTCAGAACCTTCGACCCCTGAGTCCGTTATACGACACCCTATTGATGAAGAGTTCACCGACGAGGAGGTATCTGCTGATGAGAGTGTGCCAGACCCAGTTGCCACCATCAAGGCCCCTGGAACTGGTCTAAAGACCCGTCCATCCCTCACCCCTGCGGACGTTGAGCAGATGGCTGCGACGCGCCGCAAGGTTAGCGGACAACCACCTCCGCCCATGCCCCAGCTTACCAAGCAGAACTCGAACGACTCGCAGGCCTCTGCACCGGAGGAGGAACACGAGGAGGATACACAAACAGAGACCGCCAAGGAACCGAGTCGGAGACAACCCAGTCTCATGAAACTGGATATCCCATTCAGCATCCAGGAAGAGGAGAGCCTCGGATTCGGCTTGGATAAGGAGTTCGATCGAGTGATCGAGTCGCAAAAGGTGGAGTTTGAACAATCCCTGTCCCTACTCAGAAGCACCGCGTTTATCCCTCGTCTCCATGACGGCCCACACCAAGGATCAGAAGCCCATAGCTTGAAACTTAGACCATCAACTGACCACCATGTCTTAAAACAGAGAGGTTACCTTATGCGACATAACACGAAGGTTATCATCGCCAGTAGCCGCAATGAGGATGAAGCGGCAGTTGGAGGTGACACTCCTGCAGCGGCCCGGGCCGCACCAACGGCGCGCAAGCCTAGTCAGCAAACGTGGACTACGGTGCCGTGGAACGGACAGACTCGCCGAGCGAGTATGAGGACTTCCAGTGGCATGGTCCGGAAGAAGCCCGTCAGCGGACCCGTCCCACCACTTCCAGGCCAGCAGAGCAGCGTTCAGGAGCCCCCGGCGACCATTGAGGAGACCGAACCTGCGTTGAATGGTGCTCTGGAGGAGGGCGAAGAACGTGGTCGCCTCTTCGTCAAGGTAGTCGGAATGAAATATCTCGATCTGCCGCTGCCACGGGGTAAGTGCATGACTTTTGCTCAACTATTTTTTCGAAACGTCAGCTGACAGTCACCTCAGGTGAGAGATCGTACTTTGCCTTAACCCTGGACAATGGCCTTCATTGTGTTACCACTGCCTGGCTGGAACTGGGCAAGACCGCTCCCATCGGTCAGGAGTTTGAGCTCATCGTGCAGAATGATCTCGAATTCCAACTGACCCTCCAGATGAAGGTGGACGAGGAGAAGATGCGTGTTCCAGAGCCTGCTCCACCAGTTTCACCCACAAAGCAGAAAGCCTCCACCTTCAGTCGGGTTTTTGCTTCACCCCGGAAGCGCAAGGAGCTTGATATGAAGCAACAGCTGGCGTCGCAACAAAACAAGACTCGCGACGTCAACGCTCCCGTATGGGACCGGCTGAGAACGCTCATTGCTCGCGATGGAAGCTTCGCACGCGCCTATGTGTCCCTCAGTGACCATGAAAAGCACGCCTTTGGCCGGCCTTACACAGTGGACGTGGCATGCTTCAACGAGTGGGCTGTTGAAGAGCAGCCCAGCAGTGTAAAGAGCAAGAAGAGTACCAATAGTACTACTTCCCAGAGACGTCCCCCCTACAAGATTGGCAAGCTCGAGCTGCAGCTTCTATTTGTGCCGAAGCCCAAGGGCGCCAAGGACGACGACATGCCCAAGAGCATGAACGCATGCATCCGGGAGATGCGTGAAGCCGAAAGTGTATCCTCCCGCAGTTGGGAAGGGTTCCTTTCTCAGCAAGGTGGTGATTGTCCAGTAAGTACATGCAAGCCTGAATGTTTGTCGATCAACGCTAATTCATTTCATAGTTCTGGCGTCGTCGCTTCTTCAAGCTCCAAGGGTCCAAGCTGACCGCATACCACGAGACCACCCGCCAACCTCGCGCAACCATCAACCTTTCTAAAGCAGTCAAGCTTATTGATGACCGGTCTTCTTTGACTCAGAAGGAGACTACAACGCGAGGTGGTGGCCGTCGCAAGTCAGCCTTTGCCGAAGAAGAGGAGGGCTACATGTTTGTTGAAGAGGGATTCCGCATCCGCTTTGGCAACGGCGAAGTGATTGATTTCTACGCCGACAGCGCGGCCGACAAAGACGGATGGATGAAGGTGCTGGCGGACGCCGTCGGCAAGGGATCTTCTGGCAGCAGCCAAGTCAAGGCCTGGACGGAGATGGTTCTCAAGCGGGAGCGAAGCATGAAGGTGAAGCGGACAAGCACCGCAGCTCCTCCGCCACCCGCCAAAGACAGTGCCATCCCTGTTCCAACGACCCCATCGGCGCGGGCGCCACCTGTGGGTCGTCCTGGCCACAAGCACACTCAGTCACAGCCAGAAGTTCGCGGTCTGGATGCTCGCCGGCAGAAGACGCGGTCCCTGATGTTCTAGAGATGTTCTAGAGTTACTTTTTGTGTTCCACTATGTTCTCCATTTTACCCCTTCTTGTGACTTGCTTTTATTTTAGTACCTCCCTTCTTTCTGAGTTGTCTTCCTTTTTCTATGTTTGATCTTTGCTTCTTGTACGGTGTTGGAGTCTAGCCTGCCTGCTGCATCTTCCTTTTGTTCTACCATTTGAATTGAGACTTTCAGCATCCAGCACTGCTCGTTATGCAAGCGTTGTCATTTCTCTTTGTTTGTGATATTCCGTCTACTTTTTTGTCCTTGATTCTTGCACCGCCCTTTAATGATACATAGCGCCTTTCCTTCATGAGTCCATAATTGAGTTCTCGTTTCTCTGTGTATCAAAAAATCTCGGTCCTATTTCATCTGTTGTGTTCTACTTAGAAATTGTAACAGTTGACGTCAAGGTTGCTCTAGTAGTTTGCAGTAAGCTAATCATGGCTTATATAAGTTAATTAAAATCGGCGCATTTAGCTGGACCCGTATTTCGTTCTCCTATTAACCTTCTACAATATTGAACGTCATTCGCCCATTTCAGGATTCGATGTAATGGCCATCTGTCTCCCGCTTTTATATAGTTCCGCAGATCATTTCCCCATCACAACGTAATAGCATACTACATCGAAATATGATAGTAACTTAATTCCTGTAGTACAAGCCAATGACTCGATAAAAAAGACGGAAAACGCGATGCACTATTGTACGGTGCTCAGTAAAAGGAGCACTCATTTGGGTTTCCCGTCAAACGCGTGTGTGGTCGGTCCGACTTCTCTAATTCGTCTCACCTGAGTATTCTATTTCCATGGAGCTCTTGACTATTGATTCCCAAGCTTCGAGCCGTTTGATTGCATATATCTTCTAGAGACTACATAGATCAGCTTATATCTCCTGCTACGGACAAAGCCCGCACCTTCCCGAATAGGAAGAGAGGACGCGTCTCCTACACCTCGTTCCTCTGTTTCCTCTTACATACTTAGATAGTTGCTAGCATCATACAACACCAGCTTAATTGACGTTTTATAATTCTCTTTTTTCTTGGCTTCCACTTCTTTGCGTTTGGAACGGCTCTTTACTCCAATTCGGGGCAAACGCCCTATGCTTCCTGTCATGCGTCTTCCCGTCTTCCCTTGCGTGTCTTCCCTAGACGGAATTTAATATGCATAAAGACAACAGCACCTTGAATGCTCGTTGCCAATGTTACTACCATTGCGATATACAGTAACGTGTCATTTCCTCACCTTCAAAGTATTCTCACTAGATTGAAGATTCTCTCAGTTAATGTGAGTAGTTTCGGCCTGTACGTCAATTGACCGCTTCACAATGCAGTCTTGATTCCCTCAAAACATTCAATACATACAGTGAGTAACACCGGATTCTCTGGGGTTGAAGTGAGTAAACCCTCATTTACTCCCTTTTCCTCAGGGAATCCAGCAGTTCGAGTGTTGGCTTGAAGTGAATTGGACCACCCAGGAGCGACTATAAGAACCCCCTTCTTCCCCACCTAAGCAGGTCCGCAAGGAGCGAAACTGGCTGTATAGGAGATCAGTAATATAATGTTTCGGACCATTTCTATAGCTCAATACTAACTCTGGGTTCAGGATGAGATCAAAGAATTCTGGAAACCTGATGAAAGCAGCGAAAATATTAGAAGCGGCGCTTTCTCGATAAGTCATTCCCGTCGCTTAGGCACGACCAAGTTTGCCGATTTGAGAAGCGCATTACTCATACTTTTTGGATGGTACACAAACAATGGAAAACGGAGATCTTCGCATTAAGGAAAATAACCAAGATGAATCTCAGAACATTCTAATTGCAATGGCCAGGGGCAGCTCCGCAGAAGCGCTTTATTTCAAGGGCCCAAGAGAAAGGTGGATTCGTTTTTGTCTTCCCGATGGCGGATTCCTGCCAGAGAAATCTACTTTCTCACATGGGGATACGGCGGTCTGCTTCAGGATCATCGATCGGGACATTGCATCAAAGCTCTCGTTTGAGATATTTGCGACGGAGGAAATATCGAAAAAAAAGCACGAGTTGCATCCAGAAAACGTGGTTCACTCTGCACGACTGGAATTCTCATTGCATATCGATGGGAAGCAGCCTCGATGTGTCCAGGACTTTGCCTTCAAGAAACATTTCACAGTCAAGGCAACGGAAGGACAGTCCGGAGTCGAGTATGAACATCCATGCTATATTGACGTGGAGTTCACCACCATTGGCGGCGTTTCCTATGGTGTATACCATGAGAATGTTTCGCGTCTCAATGGACCAGCCAAGAGAGTGTTCGAGCATCTACAGCTTCTGACATCTCGCAACAACCGGGAACTGAGAACAGTGAAGTTCCGATCTAGATCCCGCGAAGATGGACCATATAGCCTCCTTTCTTGATACCTTGGGTGGTCTATCGGGGTATCTCCCTAATTCCAAGGCGTTCCACCCATATCGCGGCCACAGTGGTGAGCCCAGAATTATATTTAGCCAATAAGTGCCTAGGCTGTTGGTAGAACAAGATTATAGATTCTCTCTTGTGAAGTTTAGACCAATGGACTTTTTCCATGATATTAACAAATACATGGTCAAATTCGCATATGGAACAACAATCGAGTGGCGGTGTTAAATATAAACAAGTCAAAAGGTTACAGGAGGTTCCATGCGGTATTCGAATCATGAGGGTTGGATCTGCCATTATGGCCCACGTTCATCCGGATTCTAATCAAATCAAAGATAACCTATTGCCAACCGAGATAAGAGGAACCGAGATCCTGTTACCGGAATATACAGACGTGAAACTCATTGTTAAAGTTCCCCAGGTCACAGGACCCGCCGTTGAGTGGAAAATCAGTGGCTTCACAGTTACTGAGTATACTGAGAATTTATTACCTGATAAGCTAAACATTGTTCTCTACGGCGGAAGGATTAGCAAATTACAAAAAAAAGAATCTACTGTTAACTACGGTGAGTCATGAAGTTTGATATTAACAAAGCCCCTGTCAAACGACAAATTAATGCGCTAGAGAAGCTGTGCTCAGGCAAGGATGGAGTCTACTGATAGCATGACCTTCTTCTAAATCAAGAAAACAGTGCTTTGAAAACTGTGGACCTCCTAGAGGGAATCAAAGAAAACATGATTAGCTCAGCATTGGGGCATCTCCTTCAGTTAAGAGCCTGGACTTACTAGCAGAAAGCAGCCTTCAGATCTCTTCGCCTGACAAAGGCAGGTTGTTCTCCTTTGGAGGGTTATTCAGATTGCAGCAAGACCACCGTTCTCACTGCGATAGCAATATTTCTTTATAACTGTGGTTTAAACGTCCTCCTCCTCGGAGCTAGTAATACCGCTGTGGATATCCTGATGGATCAACTCACCGCACTGCATAGCATTCATTACGTGCGTATTCATCGTGGAGAAATCGAGAGCCGGTCCAGAGCGTCTGCTTGTCCATGGGATTCCGATGAAGGCGCGGGCCTAACTAATCTCGAGAACTATACCGATGCTGAGAAATTAAGTACTCTCGTCGGGTTTTTGCAATCTCTCAAGAATATACAATCCCAACAGAGCATAAGTATTAATGATTATACTCTCCCAACTTACATCAAGGAAAGATATACTGAGAGGTTGAACGCCGGTGAAAAAAGTGCCACTAAATCTGGCACCGGGAGCAAAAAGATATGATACTGTGGTTCCGGATGGGATTACCAATTTAAACAAGTATGACATACAGAATGCATATGAAGTTGTCAACAACTACTTATCTAAGCCAAAAGATCAACGCCTGGGCCCTTCTTCCCCAGAGGAGGACGCAAAATGGCTAGCAAAGGAGACCGCATTTAAGAAATACTGGGATACCATTGGTGAACTTGTGGTCCAGGATGCATCCATTGTAGCCTACACGCACAATCTAGCCGGCACACCTATCGTCAGGAGAAATCTTGGTGCAAACAGGAAGAAAATTGTTATTATTGCAGACGAAGATGGACAGGCTCTCGAGCCAGACGTGCTGATGCCTCTCGTTTCTCTAGACAGGCCGGGGGATGTTCTAGGAACAATAAGAGGGGGTGACCGACAGCAACCCCCCTGGCAGTTACAGCGTCTGAGGTCCCCGGGTACAACGAATTCGGATACCAGATGGGAAGATCGCTATTTGATCGACTTTCGTCACTCCCAATTCCCCTTTACACTAGTTTCTGAGCAACACCGCATGCAGCCGCGCCTTTCGAAATCTCCATCCGCTTTCACCTACTATGGGAAAATGACTGACGACCCGATCGTTCAATCAATTTCCATTGATACTAAGTTTTTAGATGCGCTACTTGATTGGATCAAGACCAGAGTACCAGATGTCAATTTCAAATCGGGCATGGAACTCAACGGCGTCAATGTGATGGATGGGGAGACTGTGGTCAATGACAGAACTCGGTCTCGTTCAAATCTTGCCAATGTCACTATCTTTGATGTTGACCCTGAGCACATTGACAATACAGGTAGATTGGCTGAAGCCTTGAATGTCCTATCGAAAGGTCTTCCGTTTTTGGAAGAACGTTGACTTCTTCTAGTAAGATTCCGTTGCGACGTGGACCTTGAGCACATTGACAATACAGCCAGATGGCTGGGGTTCTATAGGGCCTATTAAAAGATCTTCCATATACCAAGCCATACAACGCGTACCGCACTCACAGTGGCGACGTGAGAATTCAGTAAATCGCGTATTACCCCACAGAGGACTGTGCTGTGCTGTGCTGTGCTGGGCTCTGGCTCAACATGCTGATGCTGTGGATATTCTCAAGATAATGAAATTAACTTATTTATCTCCCACGGTGGAGGCGTGAGAATATTGCATGGTCAGCAGACGCCGCGTGTGATTGTGGAATGGGATTATAGATCGAAAAGATTGGAAGTGTGACGGACATTTTTGACAACGTCGATGAGTACGTTGTCAAATTTACTTATGATTCTCAGGGTCTGAGAATGACATATAGCTAATAAACCCACAAAAAAAAAGGGTTCGTTACATCTCCAGCCCTTAATTCACCTTTGTTTCGTTTTAATCATTCGAATGGAGACATATTGCCAGACAGCAATAAACAAGGCAATTGGACAAATTTGGTGTCGTGTGGTCGACATTCAGAAATTATCGACGAATATAATATAGGGAGGTTATGGCATATAGCACCTTGCTATAACGGCGAAGAGTGGACTGTTTGTCCAATAATACTTACTGGGTTCCTCTAGTCAAATTCTGAGCAGTCGATATCTTTAACAAGGTTGGTAAATCCATCATATAAAGACATATGGAACCTTGCTCGAATGGAGACGCCAATACGAGCAGATCAAAAGACTCCAGGAGGTACCAGCGATATTCCTATTACGAGGATCGGATCTGCTATCATTGCCCACATCCGTCCGGATGCAGAGTCCCTCAAAGACAACTTGCTAACCACGGAGATGAAGGGGACCGAGATAGTCTTTCCCGGCTTTACAGGACTTACCGGCCAGAATAACAATAAGAAAAATAGATTCTGCTATAATCGCACACGTCCGTCCGGACCTTTTTTATATCAAAGACAATTTGTTGCCGACAGAGCTGCGTGGATAGAAGTCATGTTACCGGAGTTTACGGACATGAAACTCACGGTAAAGGTTCACCAGACGTTAGACCCAACAGCGGACTATATAGTTAGCGGCTTTACTCTCGCTGAATATTTTTGGGATGATATAAATGCTATGAATTACAGGGAATGGGCATGACTTTGCCCGAGTTTACCGATTTTAAACTAACAGTCAAGGTTCCCCAGACCTCAGGCCCAGTCTCGGATTGTGCAGCCACTGGCTTCACTCTCGCTGAGTATCCTTGGCAAGGTATTTAATACTACAAGATATAGAAACCGGCCATATTGCCGGAGTTCACAGACGTTAAACTCACAATAAAAGTCCCGCAGACATCGGGTCCAATTTCGAATTGGAAAGGTGAGTGAGTGGGTTTACAGTGGCCGAGTACACTGAATATATCTCACCAGATGAGTTGAACGTGGTACTCTACGGCGAACAGATTGACAAATTACTGAAAGACAGAGCTTTCACTGGTGAAGGGTCTGGGAGTCATAATTTTCGATATCATTGGGGCCGCTGTGGAAAGGCAAGTAAATGCTTTTGGGAAGCTTCGCTCGGGCGAGAGTGGAGTCAATTGGTGTTGGGTTGATATTCGAGAAAACGGTGGGATACATGCTTTTTAATACCATCGTCTTTGCTTAGTGATGGGTCTGGGTGGTAACCGGTATTATCAGAGAACCTGGAAGATAGAAGCAGCTGATCACGATCACTAGATTTTGATGAGGGAACGTTCTTTAATTGGAATATTGGCTTCATATGCGAATATATGTGGTTTTGTGCATGCTTGCAGTTACTTATTTTCAGGTAGAAGCAAGCGATTGGTGGGTAGTAGTACATAGGATACAGTCTGGCAATATCAAAACTCAAATGTTAAGATTTCTCACTAAAACTGACACGATGGTGCTTAATCGGTTACTGTAGCTTCTAAGCATGTAGGAAGGCTACTACTACCTGCACCCAAAAACCACAGTAGCAACGATTGGCGTAATATCAGATAAAAGACACAGTATACGTCAAGCTCCGAGAGCTACAAAGAACAAACGCGTCCAAAGTCGACTCGAACATATTGCCGTCCATACTGGACTCTACAGTCCGCGCGCATACGTGTCAAGGTACGCAGCCGTGGCATTGTCTATGAACAGTTAGCAAAATCTTCATTCATCAAGAGAAATCTAAACTTACAAGACTCCACACCCTTCTCCACATTCAGGTTCATATACACGGGACGGGCCTAGGATAAGGGTATTAGCATGACTGCTACGCGAGAGATTTGTTCTTCTTTCATGTACATACCGTCTCGCCGCCCTTTTCCAACCAGTCATAAATTGACTGTGCATTCTGAACAGTGGAGCTCCAGTACTGAGGAAGTACATCCAGACAGGCTTGGAAAGACAGCAACCCGCTCTGTTGCATGCCCTGCAGGTCCTGACGCGCACTTCGGATGGTCTCAAGAAGCTTCTTGAGATCCTCTTTTTCAAAGGTCTTCTGATTGATTTTGTTTTTCACCACTAAAGGGTATAGTTAGCATACAAGATCTATTCAGAGGGAAGCGAAGCAAAAACTCACCGCCAGCGGCAATGTACAGACCCAGAGCGGCAGCTAAAGACACGCCAGCGAAGATGAGCCCTCCAATCTGCACCAACCAAGATTTAGTAAAAGGTAACTTGTTTGGGTTGAGTAGTGTTAGTTGTGGGACTTTATCACGTACAAGAATCAACGGCTTGACAGGCTCGAATAAAGTCCCCAGCGCGTTCGCAATTGGAATAGCTGCTCCTGCGAGCGCGACCATTACTTTTTGGGCCGTCTCAATCGAATTCAGTTCCCGTGTTAGGCTGCGGATCTCCTGTTCAAGATCCGCAATTTGTTGTGTCAATTCTCCTTCTTTGCCTTCGGCCCATGTAGAGTAAGTATCTACGAAGGAGGAAAAGTTGTTCTTGACGGCGGAGAACTGTTCCTGGATGTCTTCGGCGGTCGCCCCAAGCTTGTTGGTATCCTGCGATTACAATAGGCTGTTAGTAATTATTCACTAAAATAGTTGCAATAAGAGTAATCAGAGGCGCATAACTTACCGAGACGAAGGCTTTGGCTTTGACCTTTCGGTCCTCGAGGGAGATGGTGCTGTCGGCACAATATTTTACGATGACTTTGTCGAAACCTAATGCCAAGGTCAGAGAGAAGTAACTGACAAAATAACCCCGAAAGATGGCTACACACTTTTGCCCTTCTGAGAAATATCAGCTGCCAGGTTTCGACTATTCTGAAGGACTTGATTGTAATCCTGTGCAACTAGTCAGCACCAAAAATTGCCAGCAACACCGGCTTTTTGACTTTACCTGGCGAATTCCGGCAACGGTATCCGCAAAGCCCTCGTTATACTTTTGGTCAATGACAGCCAGCTTTTGCTGAATATCAATGAGACGGCTGTCGATATTCACCGATGCTTGAGACGCAGCTGTTCCTGACAGCGCCATCCCATTCTGACCTTCCTCAGACGAGAGGTGTTGTCCAACACCGACCGTAAAGTCGGCCTTTTGCTGGTCCGTCTGCAGTGGCTTATGGTCTTCGTAGCCATTGGCCAGGACAAAGATCTCCTCCTCCGAAAGAGAGTTAGCAGCCTCGAGGGCCTTCTCGACAGTTGGGTTACTGCCGACGAGGCGCTCTAGCTTTCCGGCGACCTCATCATAGCTCGGAGGGGAGTTGTCGGCTGTGTAGGCTGGTGCTGGAAGAGGAGACATGGTCAATCACTGAATGCAATTGAGAAGGAATTTGTTGAGTATAATGATAGCAGGGGATTTTCTTGTAAGGAAATTGGACTTGAGGATTGTTGTTTTTCTTTCCACTGGCGGGATTGATGCCGACCTTAAATAAAATCGGCAGCCGGATTGTCACTTCGTCATTTTGCAACATTTTCCCTTCAATAAACTAGCATCATCGATTCTCCAAACCATATCGTCGGAATCGCCGAAGGTATCAGATTCCTACATGATACACGATAAGAAATTTAGAATGATAGATTGCTGCATCTTGCCACCGAATGACGGACGCGGAGCTGCAACGTCGGGGTCTGCTCCAAGTAGGGTTGCATAAACTAGCTGCATGTCAATCCCTGCAGCTGCAGACAAGCTGAAAATGCAGGACTCCCGTCTCAGGCCGCATATCCGGTGTTGCCACTGCATTAACCACGTAATCTATGCCGGAAACCCCAAAAAGTAACGGATATTCTATATCCTAGTTGATTCTGATGTTATAGTCCTTCTCCTGTACTTGTTATTCCAGGTCCGGCGACATACGAATGAAAATCGCGCACCACATATTAAAGCCCCTCATTTGCACGTCAGAGCACTACAGAAACGGAGAGAAGACAGGATATAATCCGCTCGCATTCATCTTCCAACTACTATCATTGGCCATACACCCTGCCGTGCAAATCAGCTGAAGCCATACGACCATGTCTTCTCTAGTCCTCCCCTCTGCGACTAGTGTCCTCCGCAAATTGAATGAGCAGAGATCCAGTCCAGCTTCAGTGTCAGCTTGTCTCACGGCCGTCTTTTCGTTGTCCGAGTCTGAGCGCAAGGCCCTGGTCGAATTCCCTGCCAAGTACCAGATCGTACCTACTGACAAGGAAGCATTCACGACCGCAGCTGTGCAGGCACTGGCTTCAGACGACTTGGATCAAGCGCTTGAGGATGCTGCCAGTGGGGCCTCTGCTGCAGTTAAGGGCATCATTGAACTAATGGTCGCGCTGCTCCTCAATTTATCATGGGCTGATGCAATGAACGGCACACACCTCACTGAAGAGTATGAACCGATTCTCAGGGTAAGTCACTTTCACGTACCATGGCGCAACGATGCATTCTCTGTATTCTGACTCGCTAATACTATCTCGTTCATTCAGCTCTACTGTGAGACTATGAGGGATGGGATTCCACTATCCAACACTATTGCTCAGTATGCTGAAGGTAGGAACCAGTTTCATGTGAATGCGTATCTGCTCTAAACAGTCTGCAGACTTCGATAACAAGATCATTGAATTCTGTGCGGATAGTTCTCTCACTATAGATGAGCGCCTGTCGACAATCCGAAAGTACATTAAGGTAAGAGTCTTTCGGCAACAGAGTCATCGGATTACGGAAGGTTAATGGACGCGTCTGTCTCTACTAGGATGCGGAAGGACACCAAATCACAGCCAATGAGATGCACAGCACTCTAGAGTCGATATTCGACAAAACTCTGGATTTCGTAAACCAACTTGGGAGCCAGACACTACTGGTGCGAGATGCAAATGACGAAAAGGAGGCAAAAGCCTTTCCTACACCGAGGTCAGCAAAGATGATCTTTTCAGCTGGCCCGCTCGATGCAATCATCCCGGCACTCCGAGTCGCTTTGGAATCACCTTTCGGGTCATATGTGACGGTATTCCTAGCATCCTAACACATTGATAGGCCAATGAAGACGCGCTGACCGAGATTAGATTGCTGGCTTGCTTGGAATCGCAAACCCCGAAGCGATCAACGCGGCCTATTCTTTAGCTGCATCTAGTAAGCATTCCTTTCATCTTTATCACAACTACTATACTGGGTTAGGCTTCTAACAAGACTATAGTGGTCAGTCGGGAGCATTTACCTATCAATGCAGTCATTTCCGACCTAGCCACACGATCGGGGAGTGCAACGGATACGAACACGGACTATTTCGACGAGTTTCGAGAGCATATTGAAGTCCTCGCTGGCTATTGGCAAAGTACACTCGTCGATGCGCGAAAGATTGAGCTATGGCTGGATGATGGTGCCTCGCTCGTAGTAAGTTCTGAACTCCTGAAATCATTTACTCTCTTCACACTGATGCAATCAGGACATGCCCACGTACATGAACATGGCATTGAATGAAGGGGCCAAGATCTGTAAGTCTACATGAGGATCCACTCCTTTCATTTAGCTGAGATGCAATGCGTAGACTAATTCCTTGGCTTAGATGTGGAAGTAGGCAAGTACTTGCGACTGTACGCCGAAGAAACTAGCCAGATTCCTTGGGATGAGTGGTTGAACGCCGATGAGAGGATCCGTAATTGAGCATAGCTATCTGTGATCTGGATGTATGCCTGCTGTTAGAGGTCTCTCGGCCACCCATACTTTTTCTGTCTATGATCTACCATTTTGAATGCTAGTCCTTGCTGCAATGAAACAAGAATTCTCTCTGGAAATAGAAATAAATACGTCAATTCCTTCGGGTAATTCATTGATCTCCGTCAATGACAGGGGTTCATGGCGTATATTTGCCACCAAAAATAAAGGCGATGTAGAGACGGGGAAAGTCCAGACCTCAGCTCTCAGCCTTGGGAAACCAATCTACCTAAGGATGTGTTTTATAGTGGCCGCCGATCAAACGGGGGTGTCTGTATCCTTCTTAGTGGTCAATGTATAATGTCGCTGGAGGACCGGACCAACGGCCGGAGGATTAAGATACACGTACTACAATGCGGCTAAGGCCTTTGATATCCCTGTCTCCATCATGTATTAGTTTAGCACTTATATGTTACTACTCCGCAACGAGTATATCCAGCCGTCCAATAGATTGATTGCTCCCACTAGATAATTAATAGCGGGACACCAGCTGAGAATTGCGGACAGTTCTCTTTAACTTCCTTCCCCTCCTACACTGCATGCATACGCATACACACACCCCACTTCACCGTTAGCATCTCCCGCACGAAGACAACTCTGTTTTCCCGGGATTTGAAAGACACCCCAAGTTTAATTAATTACTAACTGGTGAGTGTGTGTGGCTTTCCTAGATGTCATGTATGAAGCTGCATGTTGAACTCAATTGCCACATCTCGTGCACATCCTCCACTTCGTTCTTTCCTAAAGCATGTCCTATGGCGCGATTATTTCTCCTTTGAGCAGGTGGCAAAGGCAGAACCTGGACTCAGCCCTCCGGAATGCTGAACTTCCTCGAACCTCAGCTGTGCCTTGGCGGTGCAGGTGACTTGCGACATGGGGACTCAGTCGATTCAGCTGCTTCCCCTCCATGTCCCCGAACCAACTATCATCCTTGTCATCTTTCTCCTCGACCCTTGGTAACCAACATCTACTGCAAGTTCGAGGCAGCTCAGCTTGAGGATTGTGCATAGCATGACGCATCTCGAAAAGAATATGCAGGCAGACTTGCCACCTCCTCCTTTAGAGATGAAAAGAGAATGAATGAACGATGGCCAAAGTATATAAGGTAGCCAGCAAAGGACATGAAGACTCTTACTATCGACAAAGAAGCACCATTCTCTCGTATCTATTCGAAGGACAGACTACACCACGAGCTAAATCATCTATTTTCAATCTACTCTTTTCTTCTCTACACGGTTCAATCCACCACTGTCTCACAATGGCAACCACAACAATTGTTCCTCCTCCTACCTACGTGGCTGGGGACTCCCCACCCTCCTATGAGGAGGTCGCCAACAAAGTCAACCAGCTGGTGGGCAGTGACCCTACTCCCCAGAAGTATCTGGACGTAGCGACATCACTCTCTGAAGAGGAGCGGAAAGTCCTCAGCGATGGAGCCGAGGCCAACAATCCCATCAAGACCGAGGATGATAAGAGGAAGCTGTCGTTGGGTGCCGCAAAGACCATGTCCAGAGAGGACACAGTGGCCAAGATGCAAGAGGACGCGAGTGCTGCCAGCGCGGCAGTCGTGGCGATTGATGGCTCGTTCACAGCCTTGCAAGTGAAGATTGCCGAGATTGATCAGCTCGAACAGACAAACTTTCTTGTGCAGTTGAATGAAAATAAATCCGTATGCATGGCTTGCCCCTCTACCCCTTCTTTTCTCCTTCTTAGGAGTTTCTGTCAAGGGACATGAGCCGTGAATTGTTTATGCTAATTTACTTCGTCTTTGCAAGAAATACAACGATGTGCTCACCACTAGCCGGACTATGGCTGCTGAAATCAGTCAGTATGGCTCCAGTAAGTTTTACTTACCCTCCGCTCATCCTAGACTTCCTCACGCTGACACTCCACTGCAACTCTAGGCTTCGATAAGCTTATTGTTCCACTATGTTCTGATGAGAGTCTAACCGTGGAACTACGATTGGAACAAATCAACAAATTCATTGAAGTCAGTCATCCATATCAAATACGTATGCTATGTTCCGACAAGCTAACTAGTTCGCTCACTATAGAGGGCAGATGGATTCAGGGAGAAGGGCGAACAGATTAATAAAGATTTCGATAATCTAGTCAACGATTTTATCTCGTTCAAAGCTCAGTTCGGTCAGTGGGGTAAAGATAAGCAGGGGGAACTGAGACAGGATATAGAGGACCTACTCGCAGATATCAGCGACTTGAATGACAAGTTGGGCAAGCTGCGTATATCTCTATTGGCACTCGGTGTTGGCCTGGGAGCCGGGCTGGCAGCAGCTGGTATTGGACTTGCCTTGTCGGGGCCTGTTGCTCCATTTATCTTGGTATGTCCCTGCTCAACTGGGTTGCCTTTTTCCACCTCCCCCCCTCTCTTTACTTGGGCGTATGTTTCTGGAAATAGATCCACGACACTTAATAACTAACATGGATATATCTTACAGATCGGTGGTCTTATTTTCGCCGGAGCCACGGCTGCTGCAGTGGCCGGCATCGCCATTTCCATGGGCAGTAAGTCTGCTTTCTTAGAAATTTAAGTTCTTGGGGAGATGTGAAGCTTACAAAATCATCTCTACAGTCATACAAAATGAGATTGATGGGAAAAATCAGCAGATCAAGGATAAAAATGCCGAGATTGATGCTATTGATCAAGCTCGAACTGGCTTGGAGACCTTGGGCGATGAGCAGTTTACTGTGTTTCAGCAGAACGTCAAGGTCCTCCAGAGCTACTGGACCGTAGTGCAGGCCGATGCAGTAGAGATCAAAGGCTGGCTGCAAGACGGAGCTAATATGGCGGTACGAGAACCCCTCTCCAATCGGAAGAAAAGACATGAAGGGATGTATAATTGCAGTGACTGACTCCTCTCCTCTTCTTCTGGATGGGGTCATGCAGAGTGCACCCACCTATATGCAGAATTCGCTCAACGAGGCCGTGTCTGTTTGTACGTTGCCATTTGCCTGCTCCCACCCTTTCATACTTAACAGTTAATTATTTGGTTCGCTAACCATCAATGGCTACAGACGCATCTTTGGGCAAGTATATGGATGTATATGCAAAGGGAATCGTGATTTGATCGGACCCCAGTGTGTGGCCCAGTTCACCTGCCAGAATGCAGACAGGATTGTCTAGGGGTTCGATCATGACTCCTTTTGCTCCGCAACTTCGGAAGGAAAATGATGGAAGAATCAGAACCAGCCAGAGTGAGAGGGATATTTTGGGGCGATCCACGCCTTCCTTTTCTTTTATCCGACATTCGTTTAGTTGATAACTTTTGGAAACAATATATCATAATAGCTACTGGATAACAATAGCTTTTATACATACGGGTCTAACATATCAACCATTCGTAATCAACAGCAGATAAGCTATGGACGATATGTCTAACCCCCCTCTTCGCCTCCGTTCGGGGGAGCACCCTCATCCTCCGACGCAGCACCCTCTACCTCTGCCAACGCCTCGCGCTGCGACTTCTTCTCCTCCGTGCCGTTAGCCGGCACCGAGACCAGCCTGGCAGCCGGAATACCACCAGATGTGATGTAGAGGAACTCCTCTTGCGAGTAGTGGTCGAGGTGACCGAAGAAAGCAGAGAAACTAGATACAAGTATTAGATTAATCCCTATCATGTAAAAGGATCAAGGAAAACAGGGGAGTGGTCAACATACGCATGAGTTTCTTCCTCCTCGCGGAAGATTCGATCGTAGATCTCACGCTGCTTGAACTCATTAATGGTATCAGCATGCTTGTCAAAATCGATAGGATCTTTGCCCGTCTCATGAGTCTTCTTGTTATAGGAGTCGAAGACGGGCCGTTCAAGAAGCAAGCCCAGACCAGGCGCCTTAGGGATAGCGATCTTACTGGCACCGTAGGTCTCGACAATGCGCTGGGGATCACAACCGCAGCGCACGACCATGGCAGCCATGGCGACCATCTTGCGAATCTGGTGCATCATGAAACTTTGGCCGTGGACCTTGAGGCTGAGCCATTCCGTGCCGTTGATGATGATGGGCTGTTCGGCCATCTTGAAGGACTTAATGTGACGTTTCGAGGATGGATCGGCGTGTGTCTTTTGGATTGTGTAGTTAAAGAAGTTGTTCGTTCCGACGTACTTGTCCAGGGCTTCTTGCACGCGGGCCAGGCGTTGGGCCGGAATCCGGTAGGCCCTCTTCGCCTGGAGGTAGGCGGCTTTGATGGCCTTGACGGTCTCGAAGACCTTACGTCGGCGCGCTTCTTCGGCTTCGTCGTTTTCGTTGGCGTTTGCGGGCTTTTCTTCGGTAGATGGCTGTTCGGTGGTTTCCTCTGATGCGGGCTTGTCTTGTGTCTGGAACATGTCGTCTTGCGCGGACCGGTCCTCATCGTTCAGGTGGAGCACCTTCTCAACGAGCTTGCGGATATCCTCGGGCGTGTTCTCGAGGATCGGTCGGACGTACTTCTCGTCGGTCTCTTCCCAGTAGCTCGCTACCTCTTCCTGTCGGGCCTTGTAGCCCTCCATGTCACCTTCCTTCTCGGCGTACTCGACGAGCTTCTTGCCCAGGTAGGTGCTGGGGTGAGGCGGCAGGAAACAGTGGGTTGGGATGAGGTATTCGTAGATGCGAGAGTCGCACAGCTGATAACTGCTGAACGACTTGTTCGTGACGAGAATGTCCCATACGCGAATCTGCGAGCTGAGCTTCTCGTTGATCTTCTGGATGATGTCTTCGTCTTCGACGATCAATTTCAAGGAGACGATGTTTCCCGCGGCGTGGACACCCTTGTCGGTACGCGCGCAACGCACCAACGATGACTTCTTCGGATCGGTTGCGTTGGCCTTGGAGATGGCGCCGGCCGCCACGAACGCCGCAAAGAGCTCTCCTTCGATGGTCTTTTCCGTCTCGCTCCTACCGACAATCAGTAACAGTTCCTATGATGCTTTGAGATGAACCGCAAGAAATCGTGACCG